TGTCCCCATTTCCCTCCAGCCTTCTTCCTATCCTACCTAGTGTTAGGGGGTTGAAAGAGTAAAATAGGGTTGGAGAAAAGAGGAAGAAAAAGGAACCCACAAAGTAGCCAAAAAAGATGAATACAGTATATTTCCTTCCCAATGGGGGCAGCAGCCACCTCATGCTCCTACCTTCCCTACTGTGGTGAAATGTATCCTCAGACTGTCACACAAAACAGTCCCTTCATTTCTTAATTTGTTTGGTTTGTTCGGTTGGTTGGTTTGTTTGTTTGTTTGTTTGGTTGGTTGGTTGGTTGGTTGGTTTGGTTTGGTTTGGTTTGGTTTGGTTCCCCCAAAAAACAGTCTTTATTGGCCTCGGCTTCTTGAGGGGGATGAATCGGGAGGAGTGGGTGGCACCAATACAGGGATGGCCATGCTTCACAGGCTTGTAGGTGATGGAAAACTCCCCTAAGCAGTGGCCAATCATCTCTGGTTTGATCTCCACCTGGTTGAAGGTCTTGCTGTGGTACACACCCACCATGACTCTCAGATGAGTCTTCACCACCTCGGACTTCTCCATGGGCGGCGCCTCCTTCTTGGCCTTTCTCAAGCGCTTGAGCAGTGAGTGCTGCTTCTGCTGCAGGCCATGTTCAGGCGCCACCTCTGGCAGACACTGTACAACTGCATCAGCTGCTCATAGGACACATCCAGCCGCTGGTGGAAATCCACACCAAGGTAGGTGAACTTGCGGGAGGTCCGCTTCTTCTACCGCTCCACGTCAGCCATCTTGGTGGCTGCTTGGAAAAGGAAGTATCTCTTAATTTGTTTTTGTCAGGAATCCTATCACAGCGTTGAGACAAAACAACTAACATACACCTGAAAGGAACTGCACCAGGTCATACCCACACGGACTCAACCTTAGCGTGCCACCTACACTAACCGGTGTTCCTTAATGTTCTGCAATTCTTACGTTAGTTGCCATCAGTGAACTCATCCGCTTAGAGTTCTGTTCAAGTACAATAATAGCAGTAAGGCCCATAACCTCTAAGACCAACATAAGGAAAAATTTAGTTTCTAAGTGGGACTAAAGTGTAAATATGCCATACAGGATTTCAGCAGAGCTCAGATCCCAGCCTAACCCCCAAGCTCTCCAGAATGCATCCCCCGCCCAGTAGTTTCTTAGGCTAGAATTATCTTTAGGTCACCATGCACTTGCCTTGTCACAAGATAAGGTGATAGATAGTACACAGCATGCACTTGCTGGCAGCTGCAAAGGTACATCCCCAGTCATCCTGAAAGCTGTCCTCAAGTTCCCTCACTTGGGGAATGAAATCTTCCCCAACAATGGGAGCCTGGCCCTTTCCTGCAGGACTCAGAAGCCTAAAGTTTAGGATAAAGTCTCTCAGTCTTCACAGGCCCCAGAGGCCGTTTGGAAGGGCTTGACTGCCACCCTGTGGCCACTAGGTACACATGCCCACAATGAGCAAGAACAAATCAGCAAATGCTCAATTCAATTCAGCTTTTTTTTTTTTTTTTCTTCTTTTCTAAGAATGATGACCTCATCTTTTCACCATGCCTAGAGGGAAGTGGCCCTCAAATGTTCTGGCAACATCCCATGCTTGAGGGAGGTTGGAAAGTTTTGCTGTTAGCGGTGTTTTTTGAGATAGAGTCTCATGTAGCTCAAAGTCAGTATCTGAAGCTGACAGAAAACTTGAGCATCTTGAGCACAAGGTCTAAACGTTTGAATTATAGGTGTGCTTCACCACACGTGAGACAAGCTCTTTACCAGCAGACTTTCATCCCTAGCCTAACCTCAGGAAGTTGTTTTAAATGATGGATTTCACTCCAGGACAATTGTGATGGTTCATTCATCATTAGCATGTCTGGAATCAGAATACTGATAGAAACACACCTGTGGTTGTGTCTCTGATGGTGTTTCTAGGCAGGTTTAACTGAGTTAAGAAGATCAAGCCTGGAAGTGGGCAGCACCATTCCATGAAGTTGGGCCCCAGGCTGAGGAGAGAGGTGAGAGCAGGCTGAGTGGCAGTCCTCATCCTGTGGGCTTCCAAACTGTGGACACAGCATAGCAGCTTCCTCAGACGCCTACTACCATGACTCTTCAGCCATGGCGAACTGTATCTTTGAACTCTGGGCCAAAATAAATCTTTACTGTTTCCTTCCTTAAGTTGACTTTGCAGGGTATTTTGACACAGTAGTGAGGAAAGTGACTAATGCAGCAGTCTTGCCGGTGATATTTAGAAAATGGTGCCCGGTCCAGCTTGTTCCTGGGTAGCCACCAAGTTCCCACTGCTCCTCCCTTCTGACTGGGGCTTCGGCTAGCTAGATGTGCAGGTCCTGGCATCCACTAGATGCCAGCGTAGGGGATGGCTCTGCCAATCCCCAACGCTGTATCCACAAAGCTTGGCTGAACCCCAGACAATATCTGCCATTCTCGAAGTACCTGATAGAAATGAGACTTAAAGCTTAATGATTATCTAAAGGATTTATATATTTAGAAATGCTCAATCAACAAGATGCCCACACAATTAGAGTTGTTACCCACTATCTAACCTTCTGATAGACATTGCTACCCAGGACAGTTTTTGACCCATCCATGGTTCTCCATGGCTGATAGCCTCCCCTTTCTCCTTCCCTTCCTCTCTTTCTCCCCCTTCGTCTTTTTCTCCCCTCCCCTTTCTCTCTTTCTCTCCCAGCTCCACCTCCACTTCTACTGCCTAATCATGGAGCTCCAGTGCAGATACAATGTAGCAGAATAAGTATCCTGCTACACACCTGAGCTGATTAGCAGGCTTCCAGTTGAAAAACATTTTTCTATTTTCCCTGTGTTCAAAGAAAACTACTTGGTAATTGTAAGAAACCTATGCTCTGTAGCATCCTTCCCTATGCTCTATGGTCTCTATGGTCTCCGTTAAATGTTCCCTCCCTCCTTCCTTTACTACATGTAAGCATCCCTAGTAAAATCTCTTCGCAAAGAAACCCCTCCATCCACCTCTCTGTGGCTGGCTGCGTGGCTGTGGGTACATTTCTTACTCTCTCTACTCTCTGTTTAAACTTATAGGAGAATTATCTTTTTGCCTTGAGAAAGATTGTAGGAGTGGGGAGTTAACTGATAATACTCAACAGAACCCAAGTATGACCCCCCCCAACACTTGAAATAATTACCCTCTAAAATAAGAGCTGTCCTTAGCCTTAACAGTCTGTAGTTTGAAATTCATGGTGTTATCTATAAGTGTTTCCTTTTAAAAAAATAAAAATAATAAATAAATAAATTGAAGTTTGCATGTAATGAAGACTTTAAAATCAAACTTCCAATTGGCCAGAAGCTGATGTGAGAATGGAACCAGCCCATGCACTGCCCTCCCCTGGCTGTGGATATTGTGCACTGTGCCTTGCCTTCTCCCTTCAGACAGGCTCTCAGCCTCCAGGTTGGGGTCAGGGGGATGCTGGTGGATTCTAGCAGCATGTTTTTCTGAAAACTGCCCCCATCTGGAGAGAATTATCCTGGTCAAGGTTCTCAATTCTTCCCTTCTATGGCTCCAACATGGATGGTTGCAACTGGGACTTCTCTGAAAGATTCTATGTACCACAATGCTCCCAAAGACGTCCCTCTACTAAACTCCAGGAGATGCTTTCCTCTGCCCAGACCCCAGACTTTTGTGGACCTCATACTTCTTCACCTATACTGATGAAGAAAAACCTCCCACAATAAACCATGAGTTTGCAACCCTTCACTCCAGAGTCTGTTATCCAGAGAACTTCTAAGACTTCTGTCTGCTACCTGCTCTCAGTATAACAATATGAGTTACACTGTCCAAGGGAAATCCAGGTCTTTACTCCTCTGTATAGATCCATTCAGTGATCTATGCTTCATCAGAGTGAAAAGACAAGAGCCTTGCTATCTATACGTGGCATTATCCTTTAAGTAACTTCTAACTCTCCTCTCTCACACCAACTGCACTGACTGGTCCGCAAACTCAACACATAGGCTTCTGCCTCGAGACTTTTGCATTTGTTTTCCGTGGTTTTGGTATGTTCTCTGTCAGATCATCTTCCTACCTCCATCCCTCACCCCCTTCTAGTCTTCTAGACTCCATTGTCACCTCTTTGATGAGAACTCTATACTTAAGCCTGCAAGTCTCCACTTACATCTAGACCCCACACCCTTTCCTACTTTGCTTTCTCCATGACAGTACCAGGGTCTGCAACACTGTGCTTTCCTATATCAGTGTTGCTCAATGCCCATCTTCACTACCAAAACCTAAGTTCCTTGTAACTAAGCTGTCTTCCCGGAGGTCACTGAGAGTAACTGGTACACAGCAGCGGGGCTGGCTCAGCGTTAACTGCATGAGCAATCTAAGAAGTGGTGCTGAATGACAAGGCCTGGAACCTTCAGGGCATCACTTAATAGCATCTAATTTACTTTTTAAAAAAGGATTTCTTTTTAAGACAGCATTTTTCTATGCAGTCCTGGAACTCACTCTGTACACCACGCTGGCCTCAAACTCATAGTGAGTTTCTTGCTTCTGCCTCCTCCTGAGTACTGAGATTAAAGGCATGCACCACCACCACTCTGCCAATGATTTATTTTTTGTTGTATGTACATTAGTATTTTTCTTGCATGTATGTCTGTGTGAGGATGTTGGATCCCATGGAATTGGAATTACAGACAGTTATGAGCTGCTAGGTGGGTGCTTGGAATTGAACCTGGGTCCTCTGGAAGAGCACCCTATGCTTTTAAGCACTGAGCCATCTCTCCAGCCTCTGATTTGCTCTTGGAAACAGAAGCCATTGTCCTCCTATTATTTTGGTGAGGTTTGTGCGGGGCCACATTTGTGGAAGCATCAGATAATATAACTGCTAAATAAATGTAAGGTATAATTTTTGATTACACCAAATCCTTCATCAGCGAGCTAATTATTTTTTTAATCATGTGCAAGCCACCAGATTATTTTTAAAGCTAGAATGTGACATTCAGACACAGAAAATCCTGAAGATGTTCATATATTTAAATGAAATATAGAAAACTTTATTCCAAAGCTATGCCCAAAATGTACAATGAAATGCACCTCCTTACAGACTTAATAAAAAAGGGCCATATCTACATATCTTTAAATTTTACAACAAGATCCTCTGCTGATCACAGAAAGTCTGATTAAAAAGTTAATCCCATTAATTAAAATTTTAAATGGCTGTCTTGATATAAAGTATATTCTAATGCAAAATATTCAAATACAGTTTCAGTATGAAACTGTTCTCAGTTTCTGGAATCCTCGGTAGTCTGTGAAAAGTATAGGTCCCTGTGCTGCTTGAAATGAGGTAAAAGGTTGAAAATTCAGACGGTTTTCCAGAAGCAGTCTTCGAATGTTGATCCTCAATGACCTGGGCAACACAATCCTTCCTCTCCCCTTCCTGTGGAACATCCCCCAATCCCCCTGACTACCTCGTATTCTGCACCTGAAACAGAAGCAAACCTACCATTTAACAATTCCTAATGTTACAATTTTTTTCCAAACAATTTTTGACCCAAAGAGAAGTCTTGCCTATAGAGGGTCACTATTTCCTTGAAAGGTATTTTAATAAATAAAGTCTACAAGTCTTTTAACAAGTCCTGAAAGGGAAAGGCAGCAAACCTCTGAGGAGGCGTTAGTTACCAATATTTTATTTTGTAGGTCACTTCTCTAAAATTTAAAAATGAAGTCCTTGGCTGCAATTTGCTAAGTGCACTGTAAAAATTAAAAGTAACTTCTAAATGAGACACCTCAAATGTTAATAAGACACAAGCGTCACACTGTACAATAGAACAAACCCATGGTTTCTGACCGCTGAGCTGTATGCTCTACAGTAAGAAATAAAGTCAGACCAGGGAAAGCCTTCTGTTAGGCATCCTGTTTACTCAGTACCACTTTCTTGGGGCTTTTGTTTTGATTGGCTAATTCACAGGTCTACTGTGTTTTTGTGTTTTTAATGGTTTTACTTAATATATTAATAATACTAACAGGGAAAGTGTCTTCCTGTGGCTACTTGGCAGTTTTTACAAAGACTAGGGTTACTTCCATCCTGCCAGAGGTGAATACACACAGCTGTGTGTGTTTACAAACAGTGACCTGATGGAAACTAAGACTTCATGCCAAGTCAGCAGGAATGTTCTCCATGGCTGAAGGGGCAGTGGGGACGGTACTGCAGAATGTTCTGATGGGTTCTTATCAACACTGCCATTACATTTGGGCAGAACATGATTGAAATGAGATATAGAAACACAAATTAATAAATACAACAGCATGATTCTTTCAGGCTCTTGATGCATGTAACCTGGAGTTGACTAAACACTGGACTATAACACACTCTTATATAGATTGGTCCTGAGAATCAAGACTTAGACTAGTGTGTAGTGTGTGTGTGTGTGTGTGTGTGTGTGTATGTGTGTGTGTTTTGCTTAGGGATTAAACCCAGAGACCCATATATGCAAGGCCAGAATTCTACACTAAGCCATGTCCCCAGACCCTACAACCATATTTATGAACACACAATGGCAAATAACAACAGTTCTGAGTTTATCTAAGTAGACAAACAACAAGCTGTGACACTCTGGAATTACAATCACATTAGAGTTAACACACACACTTATCAATTCTGAAGCCACATTGACAACTTTGGTATCCCAACAGGAAAGCTCTGCTGCACCGATGGGCATCTGCCCGACTCTGAACTATAAAAGTAACATTTTTCAGTGCAAGAATACTTTTGATAAATAGCAATGACACAATAAACACGTGGAAGACTTAAAGTGTCCTGAAGTTGTGTTTTCATATACAAAAAGTAATTCTGTAGACAGGCCTGATGGGGCACACCTGTAAGCTGAGCACTCAGTCAGCTGAGGCAAGAGAAGCATTAGTTCAAGGCCAGCCTGAGCTATACTCAGAAGTAAAAAATCATGTTTCATCTTACAGTAGGATATGACAGGTTGCTTTGCTCCTCTGATTCTGAGTCTGGATGTCAGAGCATTCCAACACTCTTGTAAACAACCTCAACATTTCTATAGTTCATCGTGTTTCTTCTTAAGTGGCCACTGTGGGTGTTGTAGTACGTGTTCCGCAGCCTGAAGGACAAGGTACATGAATTCTTCTACATCAAAAGAGTAGTTAGTAAACTTCGGGTGTTCCCCCAGAGTTGGATGGTGCCCCTGAAGAAACAAACCAGAACAAAATCCCAAAGTCACCAAGGGTGTGTCTGTTCTATAGTCATAAGCTCATTTTACTTTGGCTAAAGCAACTATTTCAACTTATGCTGTACAACATGGGCTGGCAAGCTTTTTCCACAGTGGTCCCAATGATAGTTTCAGCTCTGCCAACCATCTGCTCTCAGTCACAGATATTCTGCCAAGGAAATGCATAAGCAAGCCCAGACAATATGCAGGCAAATGTGATGGTTCCCAATAAAACTTTATTTACAACAACAATTGGTGGGCCAGATTTGTACCACCAGAGCTACTGTTTGCTGATGGCTGCTATATATAAACTGATGTGAGCCGCCTTAACAACGTTGAGGTTTTCTCTAAATTTGCAAATATAAAATACACCTTGATATTCAAGAGATGAACAGAGAAGAACATCTTGGAGGCTCAGCGATGGCTTGCATTTTAATAACTGGACTCCAAACCATTTGACTGAATGTTACCTTATCTTGAGGAAACACCTTGCTAGACTTCTGCCAGGTGATGTAGTGGATGCCTCTGAGCCTGGCCAGGTCTAGGTAACAGCGCTCATCCTCACAGTTGTATCTAAGGACACAAGAGTGTCATACATAACATGAGGCTTTTGTCCAGGGGGTTGCCTAGTGTGTAACATTCTATGGGGAAAAACCCACTCCCCAAATATGGTCTTACTAAAGGTTTTGTAAATAACAAACAGGAATGAGATAGTTTTACACACAGTCTCAGGGCTGGGAGACAGTGTGCTGCGGCCTTGCATGCATAAGGCCCTGGGTACAAGAGCAATGCAAAGATGAGTTTAAGTTAATACTCTCAATACCTTGCCTTAATTTGTAAAGACCAGAGTAAGACTGAAGAGTGAGTACCTTATTCAATAGGTCCTACTGCTTGTGAATCAGACTGTCTTGTATGATATTATCTTTACATACATGGAAAATGTATGTTACCTCCCTGTATGCAGGGAGGTAATACATTCAAGGTTAAGCAGCTGGTTAAGGAAGGAAGCAAAAGTCCCACCCCAGGTCTGTTGGGCTCTCATATATCACCACCTCCCCTTCTTTTCTCCTTTCCTCCATCCTCCCCTCTCTAGGACAAATGAATTAGGACAGAATTCACAATTACCTTCTACCTCACCAACAGCTTGAAAATGTTGTGCCAAGTATCAGAAGTTTGTAACAACCTTTTCTTGTAGAGTGTCCTTAGGGATTCATCTCCCCTCCCCCATCTCTGCCTCAGCAGTGCTGGGTAAGCAGTCCTTTGGAGATGGGCTCTCTGCTATCCCTGTCAGCACCACCCTGCTCTCTTTCAGCACAAGAATTATACTGACTGCAGGGAGGGAGGTGCCCACAGTTGAGAGGTAGTGGTGAACTCTGAGTCCGGGAAACCACAGAATTACATCCTGCAGCATTGAGGCTGTAAGGATGGAGGAGGGAGCCTCTGCTTCTTAAGGGCGCTGGCAGACCTCAGACCTTTTAGCTCAAGGTTGCTTTTCTTTCCAGATACCACCATGTTGTAGCTTGATAGTAGTTTATTAGGCTTTCTAATGCCCAGGCTAAACCTCTTAGCTCAGAACCTGCCCCCTGATCTCTCCGTGGAAAGCTGCCACCCGTACTCACAGCTCGAATACCGCAGCCCAGTCCGGAAGGAAAAGTAAGTGGGTAAGGCCAGCTCCGTGCATGCCAACAAATATGTCCGTGTTGTGCGTGATCCTGAGCTGATCTAAAAACCCGAGTTCTCTGCAATATGGAGACAACACAAGAAAGGTGGGATGAAGGGAGTTAGTCCATGACCCACAGAGACAGTATTTATCCACTTGTGTCACACTCCACATCTGCACTGTTGTGACAACTTCAAGGCACTAAAGTATTTAATAATCCATTCCTTGATAATGTAACAACCTAAGCACAAACTATTATTTCTGTTTTTCAAGGGAACATATAATATGAAAACCATGACCCATGATAGCAACACAATTACAAAAATAGATATAATCCAAATAAAAGGTACCATTCAAATACAGGCATTTAATACTGCTGGGCAAAGCTCCTAGCAGCAGGCCCCACCCTCACCTCTTCCTGGAAAAGGGAAATGAGCAAGTGCTAACAAGATATTAGCATATTCCAAGCTGAAAACTACTTCCTCCTGTGCCAGTGGAAGAAGCCACCACAGTACATCGTACTGTGTAAAACAGGAACTTTGCATCTTCAGAGCACGGCTGCCTGTGTAAGGTGAGAGGAAGCCAGTGGAGCATAACAGCAGGTCCTAACATGCAGTGACTGTCTCTCAGCTTCGAATTTCTCTGACCTTAGCACAAGAGGCACACAGTCCACTGTGCTGGGATTCCAGCCATGAAGCCCATTGGGCAGTTCATGATCACATTCTTTTTTTTTTTTGGTTTTTCAAAACAGGGTTTCTCTGTGTAGCCCTGGATGTCCTGTAACTCACTCTGTAGACCAGGCTGGCCTCGAACTCAGAAATCTGCCTGCCTCTGCCTCTCAAGTGCTGGGATTAAAGGCGTGTGCCACCACCGCCCGGCTCATGATCACATTCTCACAGATTCATCCCGTTAGGAACAAGGGGCTGCCCCCTGATCACCCACACTCCAGTGTCATTCCCTTCCCCACATCCTGCCTTTCTGTGTTTATAACCCCTGTGTGAATGAATTACGATTTGAGAAAAAAATAAATTATATATAAAAAAAAAAAACCCTCATCCTAGTTGCCTGGAAGTCAGACTTCTCCTAGTGCCATCCAGATGAAGATGTAGCTCTCTGAGCTCCTTTGGCACCATGCCTGCCTGGAGGCTGCCATGCTCCCACCTTGAAAATACTGGACTGAACCTCTGAACCTGTAAGCCAGCCCCAATTAAATGTTGTTCTTATAAGAAAAAAAAGAAAAAAAAAGGAACTAGGGGCTGATGAGTGAGCAGCAGGCAGAGGCCCAAGCAGGAAGTACATCTATGGCCGGTACCCCTCTACAGTGTGTGTGTGTGTGTGTGTGTGTGTGTGTGTGTGTGTGTGTAATATGGGAAAAAAACTATCAACAGTCACAAACTGGATCATAGGTGAATGAGGTATATAGAGAAAATTTCACTTTTTCTTTGTGCTATTTTGGGGAGCTTTCTTTTTGAATTTTTAGAATTAGATTTATTCATTTTATTTGATGTACATGTTTGGCCTGCATATATGTCTTTGTACCATACATGGGTTTGGTGCCCCAGAGAACAGAAAAAGGCATCAGAGCCTTTGGAAGTGTAATAAACAGCTGCTTCACCACCAAATGGATGCTGGGAACCAAGCCTGGGTGCTCTGCAAGAGCAACAAGTGCTCTTATCCACTGACCGTCTCTCCAGCCCGCTTTGCTCTTATGCTGCTAAACATTTTCTACCTGGAGAATATACTTCTACACAGAGCCATTGCAATGTGACTGTTCTCAAACCAACAGGACTAGACATCAGTGAGATGCATTCTTCCTTCCTTCTTTCCTTCCTTTCTTCCTTCCTTCCTTCTTTCCTTTCTTTTCTTTCTAGCTGCAAACTTTTAAAAATTTAGAAATTTCAAACAAAAATCTGGATTCATTATTTCTCTAGAATAATTAGATTGTACCAGAACAGGAGACCTCAGAAAGCTCGGCAGCTCCCCTGAACTTGAGGCCTCTGTCATCCCTGTTTTATTTAATGATTGTCTGAGTGTCACTTCTTGGTCTGTAAGGATCAGCATGCCCAATACCCACCAGAGGGTGCTTCAGTCTAGGGATGAGCGCACCTGCCTGGGCACCGGCTTACCTGTACTTATAATCAACCACCCGGACTTCAAATGTGGATACTGTTTTCAGTGCATTTACCAGCTGGAAAAAAAAAAAGAAAAGAAAAGAAGATGCCGAATGAGTTTTCCATCTTTTCTGCTTTCTTTTAAGAATCCTAAAGTTCATGTTTTTTAAATTAAAATTTGTTTTGTTTATATGTGTGTGTTCATAGAGTGCCCACCTGTACAGAGGACAACTTCACATGTTGCTCCTCAGAAAATCTTTCCACCTCACTTGTCCTGGAGCCAGCCACACATGCCCAGTGTGTGTGTGTGTGTGTGTGTGTGTGTGTGTGTGTGTGTGTGAATGTGCACTCACCTGTGTTTGTGCATACAGAACCCAGAGAACAAGATATGTCCTCTATCACTTTCCATTTCATTGTATTTTTAAATTTGTGGTGTGTGTGTGTGTGTGCTGTGTGTGTACTGTATATGTCTGTGTGTTCTGTATGTGTGTTGTACATGTCACTGTGGCTGTGTGAACGTATGCTTTCAGGTGTGCATATATTTGGAGGCCCAAGATCAACACCAGGTATCTTTCCTCCATGGATCTTAATCTGTATTTTCTGAGACAAAACCTCTCCCTGAACCAGAAGCTCCAATTTACTTAGACTGGTTGGTTGGTGAGCTTGGAGATTCTCCCTTCTCTGTTGCCCATCCCACCTCCCAGTCCCCATGGTGGAGAATGCCACCACCCTTGGCTTTGCACGTGGGTTCTGGGGACCTAGACTCAGGTCCTCATGCCTGCACAGCAGGTACTTTGTCCATTGAGCCATTTTTCTAGTCCCTTCTTTTTAATATTCTGAGACAGGCTCTCTCACTAAACCTGGAGCTCACTGTTTTGGGTGGACTGTCTGGCCAGTGAGCTCCTAGAATCTGCATATTGCTGTTCCCCAATACTGGGGTTATATACACATGAGGCATGCCTGACTTCTAAGTCAGTGCTGGAGATTTGAACTTAGAGCCTCTAGCTTTCACAACAAGCCTCTTTACCCACTGAGCCATCTCCCCAATGCCTAACATTTCTTAATTTTTTTGCAGATAACAATTTGTATTCATTACATATCATTTGTGTCTATCTTTTTATCCTATTTAAATTCAAATGCTGACTGGCTGTATCTTTTGAATTCCTCACCTCATTTCTTCTCACCTCAGAGCACCTGGTGCTTTGAGGATGAGGGGACACAGTGCTCCTGACACTCTGCGGATATGGCTCCTTCCATCCATTGTCTCATTTCAAACAAACCACTAGGACACTGGGCTCTAACCTTTGAAAATACTAAAGTGTTAGCAGAAAAAAAAATTCTATTTCTATGTAATTTCTAAAATCACTTTTGGCTCTTCTTCTGACAGCCAGAGAGTAACAGATCGTGAGCAACGTGGTGTCAAAGCGGTACCATAACTCTGAAAGTCCCTGACACTGATGGTTTGTTTCCATCTCTACTAGGTGACCCTACACAGCAACAGCAACATCAATGGTTACAAAATGCCTTGATCTAGGCTTGGTTTAATCCCTGGCAAAGGAGGAGAGAACAGGAGAGAGGAAGGGAGGGAGAGAACCAAACCCTGTGCTCCTGACCACACAATCTCCAACCTTAAGCAGTGCATCTGAATCATTGAATGCAATTGAATTGCTGACCCCGTTCTATACACACGTATGCACAACTGCATGACACATGCACAGTCACAAGACGGAAGTGTTTCTCAAGAATCACTTTTCCCCCAAGAGAGAACTAGTTAGGTAGCATGTCCCTTCTTCATTTATGAGGTAGACTCACATCAAAGAAATCACATGTGCCTGCAAGTCCCAGAATGTGTCCTTTCTCTAATTTCCAGTCACACAGCAATATCTCAACAAACCTTGTACTGGGCTAAGTCTGCCATAACCATCATTTAACTAGACTATCTGGAAACCAGGCCATACTCCTAGCACTCACGAGGCTGAAGAAGTAGGATTGGGAGTTCGAGACCAGCCAGGCTCACATAATGAGTTCAAGGTGAGCCTGTGCTATATACATACCTGAGTCTTATTCTCTGTTCATTGGTCAAAATGTAGTTAGTCTAAGTACCATTGCCCTTGTTGGGCATACCCTTTGGAACCCATATCCTGTCTTAAAGGACTATCAGCATGCTCTTGGGATTGCCAATGGGAGCAGCGATTGTACAGTCCGCCCATGAATTCTGAAAGTATCAGATCTGCACCATAGCAGGCACTGGTGCTGGGCCTTTTCCTGAACTTTCTTCCCACTGGTTTGATGCTATTCCCTAGCCTGCCCCTTCCTGATAGTCTGGGCTCATAGGCACACTCAACCTCCTCTTGCATCTATCTGCTGTGAGAAGGCTAACAGTGAAGAATAGTCTCATTGTCTAGGCTTCCGTGATTATCTGTCCAGTATGAGGCTGGGTGCAGTGTATGATTTTGTGCTGGTGAAGTGAATTGAATGCCCAGGAGCAGTTTCTGAGACATTCACCCACTCAAGCAGATGGAATCCCTTGCAATTGTATGTGTTGCCGGATGCTACGGAAATACCAAGTAACACCAATCATCTCTCAAAAGGCATGCTTGCATGTTGTTACTAGTTTGCCTGGAGGGAAAATGCTCACCCTTCTGTTGCAGTCCAGACAAGACTGTAAGTCTTGTCTGGCTTTGGTTTTGCCCATATTCTATCTAGAGCTGGTGTAGGTGGACATTTACAATAAAGCAGATCTGGATCGGGTGGGAGTTTGGAGAACCTAAAAGCCAGGAATTTCAGTAGGCTCAGGCCATTATGTATCTCTAGAAACAAATAATTTCAAATAAAAACCTCTACTGCAATACGAAACACACACACACACACACACACACACAGAGAGAGAGAGAGAGAGAGAGAGAGAGAGAGAGAGAGAGAGAGAGAGAGAGAGAACATTAGCCATTAGCCAAGGAAGACAAAGTCACTATTAAAAGTTTGTACCAAAACACTAACCTCATTTTGGTTCAGGATTTTCCGGTATTCTGTGCTGCGTGCAAGAATGGTAACTCGAACTTTCCCATCCTGTGATAAAAATGAAAAGTTGGAATAATATTGGATATACTCAGACCAAAAAAAAAAAAAAAAGACAACCCAAATCTCAAAGGCAATTTCCCAGAGAAGTGAAACTCACTAAGGAGACATGGAGAATGTTAGCCTGACTCCTTAACCATTATCCATTACCTCAGGAAATATATATGTACATTATAAGAAAATACATCTATACAATGAATTATGACTCAATAATATACAGGGACAAAACATGTCATATTGCAGTATAGAGGGAAACGGAAGGCATTATGTTAACGTAAGTCAGACACATGTTCTCCCTCAGATGCAGAAGCTAAAGGAGCTGATCTCATAGGTGGACACAAGAAAAGACTGGGGAATACGACACACTAGTAGACAGTGGATGCTGGGAAGTATAGAAATGGAGTGGCCACTAGATACACATTACAGATATAAGAGAACTGAGGTTTGCTGTCAAAATCACTGTAGTGTTAATAGGCTTGATGATAATATACTAGTTCTAACAAAGCTAAGAGAAAAGATTTAGAATGCTCCCACAACAAAGACATGATTGATGCTTGAGGTGACACAAGTGCTTGGATAATTACACTGTGTTATGTGTCAAACTATAAGACCCTAGAAATGTGCATGCATGCTTATTGTATGTTGATTATGAATACATATAAGTATATTCACTTTAGCCATGGAAGACGAAAGCCTGTTCATTACACTACTACTTCTTTGTTGGTTGATGGAGTAGATTGTTTTTAGTGGGGATTACATGAGTTAAATAGGAGAAGGTAGGGAGATATGGGTAAAGAAATAGAAAATGAACAAGGAAAATAAAGGGTATTCTTACAGTACCCTTGAGCTTATCTGCGATGGCTACTGACTGCTAAATTCAGAGGATTACAGATTCGGCAACGTTATCATAGTAAACACTGCCTCCTGCTTATTTGTTTTTCTGCAAAGATGGCATTAGAGGTGAAAACTCAAGCCTACCTCAGAACCGATAACATTTCCATTACCTTGGGTCCCTCTTGAGTGATGTTCAGTCTATGCAGCACATGCTGGGAGAAGGCCCTGAATAATCCAGTATTCTGACAGCCAGAGATCTAAAACAAAAGCACCAGTTCACATGACAGCAAACACTCCTGCACTGGGATTTCAGATGATCTCTAGAAACTTAAGGATATCTTAGATGCTTACCAGAGGCGTGTTATAGAACAGCCCATACCGCATGCGGGGCAGCAAGGAAAACACAGCTTCCTTAAAACACACCTAAGAAGGAAGACAGTTTACAGGATACTACAGTAAGGTGAGTGCTCCTCATAGGACACCATAGCAAGGTGTGCAACCTTTCACAGGACACCACTGGAAGGTATGCACCCTTCATAGGATAGACAGCACAGTAAGGTGTGCGCCCTTCATAGATAGATGGCACCACAGTAAGGTGTGCATCTTTCATAGAACACCACAATAAAGTGAGCCCCATTCATAAAACTGACAGCACAGTAAGGTAAGCACCCATCTTAGGACATCACAGTAAGGTGTGCACCTTCGTGCCAAAACAGCAGTCCTCATTTTACAAAGTAAACCTTTTGAAGGTTTTAAGCTTTATTTACAAGAATTCTGCTACAAAACAAACAAACAAACAACAACAAAACACCAAGCAGTCAGAACCAATGGTAACAGCTAAGAGAAAATCAAATTAAATATTTACTATATGAGTTAGTCACTTGTACTTGACAGTCATTTAAAGACATTTCACTAGGTTTCCAGTACCTTTTTGGAATCATAGGTTTTCAAATGTATGATGTCATAGTCAGTAAATGCTTTCCAGGTATCGGAGAAGAGGTCACCGTATCTGTAAGAGCTCTGAAGGTAGAAACACCAAGTTAGTGCCACAAGAGGATGCTTAAGAGGACCCCTGCATATGACACCACTTGTACACACAATAATATGATCACTGAGCAAAGTCCATCACAGTAAGTAGATTGCATTTGGAAGAAATTTTCAAAGTGAGAAAATGGCTTGAAAGCTTAAACATCAAATGAATATCCTCCCCCATTGAATAATAAATCATTTGACAATACCCCATTTGAGTTAATAATGTCACTAGTAACATCGCATTATACAACAACCTATAATACTGACAATATCTGAGATGCTTCCAGTCCCCAGGCATTGTTCTAAGATTATTAATTCATCAAACAACTCCACAGTTCTAATGAGCTAGCTAATGTCCTTATCCTGAATTTATACACAAGGAAGCTGTATATAAACTCAAATAGTTTCTCTAAATTGTAGAACTAATGAGTCACAGGACTGGGGTCAAGCTGTGTCTGTGGTCTCAGGCTTCATGCCCATATACTCCATGACAGCTGCTTCTCAGTGGGAGCCTGTTCTAGTGTATTTAACAAATTCATCTCCTCTCTGGAAGGTAGAAGGTAATTATGAACTCTGCCAGGTAAACGGAGAGGTTTGGTCCATTTTTAAATGGTGTGACTTAGACTGAAGAATTCAGCCCAGAGATGGAAGAAACACAAGTCGTAGGGATACATTTAAAATCTGCGATTTCTTCTCCATCACGTTGTCTCTTTATGATTATGAATTTTTTAGGTTTTGAAATTTTTAGCCTTCTATTGCAGCTATTTCAAAGGTCTGGAGAATTGTCCGATATGGTGACACAAAAAGGCATTGTTTTATTGTTTCTCCAGCAATGGTACAATAAAGACCCTCAACACCATCTACAGTGAAATTGTCCTGTTGCACAATAATAAATAAAGGGTAATTAAAAGAAGTAATTTTAGACAATTTCTTGAGATTAAATACTCTAGGTAAAATAAGATGCCTCTGAAAGAAAATTTTAATGATAAATTAGAGAGATTCTGGCTGGACCCTTCCCAGGACTCTTGTGAATTATTCAACAATAGCCACTTCAAGAAACTTCACCTCTACGTCTTCCAAATTCAAATTATCCAGCAGTGGAAGAAGGGATGAATGTCTTCCCACTTCACACTGAAGAATCCTTGGGTATTCTTCAAGGTGACAAACAAACAAACAAAAACGCTCCTCCTGTGCAGGTCTTAAATTTGAACACACCCAGAGCTTCAGACACATAAACACCACTTGTAGGACTGGGCCTACAGGAGTAATGAAGTAAGGTTGTGGAGAGAAAGACATGGTCAATCCTCCTCAACCCTCTGGACCTGAGAGTTCACTCATACTGATAGAAAATGTTCAGAGAAGAGCTGTGTCTTTACTGAATGAATACAGACCTTTGCTCTGTGACACTATACTATAACAACTGTTTGCATATACTGGGGTATGTGAGTAACCCAGTGGAGATTTCAGAGCATCTAGTGGGATGTGCATGGACACATGCAATTCTATAGGAACTTAACACAGAAGACTTGAGCATCCACGGATTCGAGTGTCCAGAGTGGATCTTATTCTAGTCTCCTATAGACCCAGGGAGAACAGTGCATATAGAAAAGATTCTGATAACATCCAGTACATAGCTCAGAACCAGAAAGAAATGAAATTCGGGGTAAAGGAGAGAAACATGGGGGTGGAAGGGAGAGGAACATGGGGGGGTGAAGGAAGAGAAACATGGAGTCAAAGGGTCAAGAACACAGGGAGCAGAGTGAAGAGACAGGAACACATGTAGAAAATCCAACAGATGGAAAAATGCTGACCCCATTCAAAAACATTCTTGTATTCAGAGAGCAGATTTTATATAATGATATAAATAAATCTTTATACAAATGATATGCATAGAGAGCCTTATACAAACCCTGATAAAACTTTGTATAAGGTTGTATTTCCATTTATTTCCTTGGGGAGAGAGAAGAAGAGACTTAAAGGAAAAAGAACTTTCACATTTCTGCATTGTTGACCTCATGAAAATCAGTTATTAGCTCTATAATTAAAAAGGAATAGCAAAGGGCTGGAGAGATGGCTCAGTGGTTAAGAGCACTGACTGCTCTTCCTGTGATCCTGAGTTCAAATCCCAGCAACTACATGATGGCTCACAACCATTGATAGTGGGATCTGATGCCATCTTCTGGCCTGCAAATGTATATGCAGCAGGACACTCACACAATTAAATAAATAAAATTAAAAAACAAAAGAATATTTTAAAAAATATAGCAAAGATATTTCAAATCCTCAACACAAGTGAAGAAGTGCCCTTTTACGACTTAGGACGCTGATGGATTTGTGGAGGTGCTCAGTACTTCAAGGGGAGAGTCATAGACAGCGCTGAGCTGGTGAAATAGCCTCTTAAAAGCCTACGTCTAACTGTGGCGAAGGTTCTCAATGCTGCAAACCGTTAATACTGTTCCTCATGTTGTGGTGACCCCAACCATGAAACTATTTTCACCGAAACTTCATAACTGTAATTCTGCTACTGATATAAATATCTGTTTTCTGATGGTTTTAGTTGACTCCTTCTTGACCATCCAAGGGGGTCTTGACCCATAGGTTGAGAACCAGCAACTGAAGGCTTTGCTAACAGAAATTCAACTGTGGACAAGACAATCACACGGCACCGTTCCCAGGCAACCTACAGACCTTTAAAGCACTGAACTGCTGGAGCGACCGAGCATTGCTGCTCATATTAGAACTTGACTGGGAAGTTAGCAAGGACATCTCTGACCAAGAGGAAAGGTTATAAGGGAGGAGGTCGAGGACCAGCATAGAACAGCGGTAACACCAGGGGCAGCCAAGCACACTGCTCAGCTACATGAATGCTGCTTATCCGTACCAGAATGATGGTCAGACTACCTGAAAATCATGTGTCCAGTTGACAGGGACCTTCATGGTGGCCTTGTACCCTAGTCTTCCCCAGCAGGCACACAACAGGCAGGACAAATAGAATCTAACTTGCTTTAACTCAGCCTACTCAAGGACGATGTAAACAGGCATGCAAGATGGTATGAAAAAGCTTCTAGAAAGCACTTGATAAGTGTCTCTCTACCTCACAAGTTCTTCAGAGGACTACATAGAGAGTGCTTTCCGAGCGCAGAGAGATTCCTTGACTCCACCCCTCAGTGTGTTACCTTAGAGCACTCACCTGCTGTTTCCTGTCTGTAAAACACACTAATAAAAATCCTGATCCAAATTCCCCATTGAGAGAAGGTGGTTTTAGTAATGGCTTTTAAAATAAGAGTCTTGCAGAATTGCTGAGAGGTGTTTTGCTGAGAGATGTGGCCTACTTAAGCAAAAAAGAAGAAACGAGACTGACACTGTCCCCTTTCCTCACAGAAACATGGCCAAAATGTGAAACTGAACTGACAGTAAAACTGGACTCAAGGTGGAAATGGAAGCACACATAGAGCCAGAGATAAAGAGAGCAAGAGCATGCCAACAACACCGAGGACTTTAAATCATGTCAGAGTTCTGGGAGATAGCTGTGGTGACAACTGTTCAGAGTTATACTACTATGAGCTAACTGTCTATGAAGTATGGACTGCAAATGCTTTCTCCTTGTCTGTAAAACTGGTGTACTGTGCTCAGGGGGAAATGCAGACAGTACATGCTAGCCGTTTCCAGACAGCGTTGCTTCCCATTTAGATACATGTGTAAGATTTACCCTAGATAGTGAGCTTAAAAAAGCAGACCACTTAGCATGAAGCTGGCTGTAACCAGAAAGCTGCTATTAAACAAATGACTGGGGCTGGGGTGTAGCTCTGTGGTGGAGTGCTTAGAATGCATGAGGCTCTGGGTTGTACTTCAGGGGCGAGAGCAGTAAATTCAAAGAGCAAAGTAAACTGAATCGCTACCACCTTGCATCAGAGGCCTCATGTCTCAGAGGAACAGATCCTGGAGCTCTGTGTTTGGGAATGTAATCTGTGCCCAAGGGGAGGAAATCCACTACCTCCTTCCAAAGTTCAAAGCACATAGGATCACACTTATCTATGGGAAGGGACAGGGCTCGGCTGGCAGGGTGTTTGCTTAGCATGCATGAAGCCCTGGGTTTAATCTCCAGCACCATACTTGTATTCTGAGCCATCTAGAGTGGATGCGAGAGGTCATCCTTGGCTACACAGTCAATTCAGGGCAGCCTGGGGTACATGAAATACTGCCTAAACAAAATCAAAACCCAAACAAAATAAAGATCATACATCCATATATACCTGACAGGGTGCATGTATATATGTCAGAGGGCCCAAAGAAACACATTTGAACACATCTACACATGTGTGAGTATGGTGTGGTTAGGCATATATTTAAACATTCATCTTAGAAAATTCTGCTTCACAAAGCCAGAGGCACACAGTGGAAGTGCATGAAAGAATTGTCGCAAAAGGAGAGAGAGGGTGCTTACTTACCGTGTCCCACATCACGATATACACATCTGTACTGAAAGAATTGTTAACATGCTGAGTGAGGTAGAGATTCAGGAAATCACAGAAGTGGTGGTACATGTTAATACCTGGTGTTGGGAAAGAGAGAACATATTAAACAAGAAAAGACACTCACCGAATGCTTTTTAGATTCCACTCTACCTGCATACAGTTAGTTGGATTTCTAGTTAAAATCAATGAGAAAACATATTTCTCCTAAATATGGGCTAGGCACGGGTACTCATCAACTAGAAGAAGTATTGAGTTTAAAATCTTACCGTTAAACTGGTTATTTTGAAACTAGGAATGCATTTATTTTCTCCTGCACATCAAGACGTAAAAGAGCATTAAGTTCTGGCACGTAGGTCTATTCAACACAGCACAGGGAACTTTTGGGCCTTGACAGCTAGCCATTCCTTCTGATTATTCATTTCATTTGTTTGTATGTATGTTTGTTTGTTTGTAAATCAACCAAATGACACCTGTGCACTGAGGCACTGGCAACAATCACAACTACTAACATTGTGGTAGTTTAAAATTCTTGTCTCTTTTTGCCATAGTTAATCATTCCTTATATTATTCTTCTTAAAAGTTTTCTGTGTATGGATGTTTTGTCGGCAAGTATGACTATGCACCACATGCATGCCTGGCACCCTTGGAGGCCAGGAGAGGATATTGGGTCTCCTGAAACCAGGGTTACAGACTATCATGAACTGTCATGTGGGTGCTAGGAATTGAACCCAGATTCTCTGGAAGAACAGCCAGTCTGAGCTATCTGTCCCGCCCCTGTTTACACTGCTTTTGGGGACATACTGACTAACCATCAGTTAAAAGAGGTGAGTGTCTCATGTTCTGGTTGGCAGAGCATGAATACTGGTATTGGAAGAACCGGGTTGAAGTCTAGCTTAGTGGTTCTGAGCAGCATCCCTAGGTGAGTTAAAGGCATTTAGTCTTTATATTTGTTACTAGAATTGGAGAGTGGTTGTAGTGCAGTGTGAGCTCAGGATAAAGTCAGAGAGGACGGCATTTTCAAGTGCCCGACCCACAGTAAGACCTTCATGAAGATGAGCAAGAGCTTAGTAGGTCAGAGTACAGCAGCCATAGCTGTCATGATTTTTAATTTCCATGCTAGCCACTAGAAAGACACAAAACAGAGGGCAGCAACTGCCATTCATCCCGTTGACCTGAGTTCAGTCCCTAGGACCCACACTAAAAGGAGAGAACCAACTACTGCAAACTGTCCTCTGAACCCAACAAGTTCTGTGGCTTGTAGTGACATGTGTACACTCACATTAAATAAATAAATGATAGAAAGAGAGAATGGCCTGATGGTGGTGGTCCACACCTTTAATTCCAGGACTCAGAAGGTGGATCTGAGTTCAAAGCCAGACTAGTCTATAGAGTGAGTTCTAGGACATCCAAGGTCACAGAGAAACCCTGTCTCAAAAAAACAAAAGGAAGGGAGGAAGGAAGGAAAGAAGGAAGGAAGAGGGAGGGAGAGAGAGAGAAAGGGAGGGAAGAAGGGGAAGAGAGAGGGAGGAAGGAAGGTAAAAAGGAAATTGCACATTGATCCCCACACATTAATAGTGAGAGACTTCAATTCATTTGCCAAAGAATTTCATGAATTCATTGTTTTTGATAATTGAGTAGTATTCCATTGTATAAATGAACCACATTTTCTGCATCCATTCCTCTGTTGGGGGACATCTGGGTTCTTTCCAGCTTCTGGCTATTATAAATAAGGCTGCTATGAACATAGTGGAGCATATGTCCTTGTTATATGTTGGAGCATCTTCTGGGTATATGCCCAGGAGTGGTATAGCTAGATCCTCAGGTCATACTATTTCCAATTTTCTGAGGAACCACCAGATTGATTTCCAAAGTGGTTGTACCTGCTTACAATCCCACCAGCATTGAGGAAATACATGGTATATACCCACTGATAAGTGGATATTAGCCCCAAAACTCAGAACTCCCATGATACAACTCACAGACCATATGAAGTTTAACAAGAAGAAAGGCCAAAGTGTGGGTGCATCAATCCCACTTAGAAGGGGGAAGAAAATAATCATGGGAGGCAAAGGGAGGGAGGGACCTGGGTGGGGAAGAAAGGGGGAGGAGAAAAGGGGGCGCAGGATCAAGTATGGGAATAGACAGGAGAAAGAGAAGTTCAGAGAGCAAGGAGAATGAATGAATACGGGGGAGGGGGACAGAAGAGGGGAACCACTAGAAAGTCCCAGACACAAGGGATGAGAGAGGCTCCCAGGACCCAGTGAGGATGACATTAGCCAAAATACCCTACAGCACGTAGATAGAATCTGAAGAGACCACCTCCAGTAGATAGGCATGGCCCCAGTTAAGGAATGGGGCCATCCACCCATCTCAAAATCTTTAACCCAGAATTGTTCCTGTCTAAAGGAAACACAGGGACAAAAAATGGAACAAAGACTGAAGGAAAGGCCAACCAGAGACTGTCCCACTTTGGGATTCATCCCATCTGCAGACACCAAACCCTGACACTTATTGCTGATGCCTAGAAGTGCTTATAGATAGGAGCCTGGTGTAGCTGCCCTCTGAGAGGCTCTGCTAACACTTAAGGCAGATGTAGATGCTCACAATCAACCAATGGACTGAGCCCGGGGACCCCAATGGAAGAGTTATTGGAAGGACTGAAGAAGCTGAAGAGGACTGCAACCCCACAGGAAGAACAACAGTATCAACTAATCGGACCCATTCAGAGCTCCCAGAGACTAAACCACCAACCAAAGCATATACACATGAGTCAGACCATGGCTCCCACTACATATGTAGCAGAGGATTGCCTTATCTGGCATCAATGAGAGGGGAGATGCTTGGTCCTGTGGAGGCTTGTTTCCCCATCTCAGGGGGATGCTAGAGGGGTGAGGTGGGAGTGGAAGGGTGCGAGAGCTTAGAGGCAAAGGGGAGGGGGTACGGGGCTTGCAGAGGGGAGACCCAGAAGGAGGAACAACATTTGGAATGTAAATAAATAAAATAATTTTTTTTTAAATATGGAAGTTGTAACCAGTTCATCTACCTCAGAAGAGGAAGCAAAAAAGACTTATCACACCACTTTCAACACATTCACAGAAAACTACTGCAAGCACATAAAGAAATAGATGTGGGGCTGAGGAAACAGCTCAGTGGCTGAGAGCACTGCCTGTTCTTGCTGAGAACCTGGGTCAGTTCATGTAAAGGTAGCTCACGACGTTCCAGAGGATCCAACGCCCTCTTCTGGCCTCCACGGGCACTGCATGAATGTGAAGCACAGACGTACATGCAGATAAAAATAGGCACACTCATAAAGTAAAAACATAAAGAATCTTTAAAAAAATAGATACATCAATCAATACACAAGTAAAATACAAAGTAAATTCTCACCTGCATCTAGTTTCATAAAATATGTTGGTTTTTCAACTACAATGTCACATTTAGCATCTTCTATAGGCCTGAAATTGAGCTGAGTGTAGCCTTGTAGCTCAGCAAACCTGGAATTGTGAATTGTGAGATAATTTAAAAGCGATTCTTTTAAACGTTCTGCTGTAACACCATAACCTGGGACCTGCTCATGACGTGGATTTTATTTCTAGTACAAGGCAGTCCCACAGAGAACCTTCCTTAATTTGCTAAAATTATTGACTCTAAATCCCAGTTTAATGTTGAGACAGGAACAAAAATGATTTAGAATTTCAGGCTATCACGTCAGATCAGACATGTCAATTGGGAAGCCATCACAAAATGAAAAACAAAAAAAAACTGATGTATTAACCGAGATTCAACAAGGTGTCTTGTCATTTGGGGACTTAAAGGAAAAGATGGATGGGCCATAGGAACTTGCCCAGAGACTTCTTGGATTCTGAGAAAGATCATATTCCAAAATGACCTAGAGCCTCAGAAAGACTGAAGACAGGGAAGCTTCCTTGAGACTGGAACACATGTGTAGAGGCTGGACAAATGACAGACACCAGCATGTGAAGAGGAACATCTACAGCTGTGAGTAAAGGTCACCTCAGCCCTCCGTGAGATCACAGGTCATGTGAAATATATTAAACAGAATCGTTCAGAGCACAGTGTAAAAACACCATGGCAGTTTAAAAAATACATTCCTGAGTCTTTCCCTCCTTCTCTTCACCCCTCCCTCTTTTCTGCCCTTCTGTCCTTTCTTGTATACAAATGAGCTCCCCTTCATCACACAGACGCCAGAGCTTAGTGCTAGGATGTCTTCCTCAATCACACTCTACCTTGTTGTTTTTAGACAGGATCTGTCTCCAAACCTGGACCTTGCAGGCTCAGCCAGACTGACTGGACTACAGCTGGATTACATCCCATCAGGATTACAGCTGTGCATCACTGTGCCAGGATTATTTTATGTGGATATTGAGGATTAGAACTCAGGTCCTCAAGCTTCAGGGACAAACACTTAACCCACTGAGCCATCACCTCAGCTACACAAGTTCTTTAGTATTTTTCCCTTCAAAAGGTAAGTGAGATAAATATAATATCACATATCTGTAATCCCAGCAGTCAGGAAGCTGAGGCAGGAGGATCATAAGTTCTTGGTCATCCTGGGATTACATAGCAAGATCTTGTTTCAAAAACACAAAAACAAAAACCTTTTTGTTAGAAGAAGAAAAAAAAAGTGGAAATGAATGCCTCCCTCCCCCTTGAATATGGTCATAACTCAATGGCTTACTTCTAACCAACAGGGCATAGTAGCATGTCACTGCTGAAGTCAGGTTACACAACACTGCAGCGTGTGTGTGTGCGTGTGTGTCTGTGTGTGTGTGTGTGTGTGTGTGTGTATCCTCATGCTCTTGAGGAAGCCATGGCTACCATGCTGTGTGTGAGTAGCACTAGTAAGAGACCCATATGGCAAAAAACAAATCTTCTGGTCCATAGTCAGACAGAAATCAAGGCTCCGAGATCAGCCCTGGTGAGCTCAGAAGTCAAGTTCTCACGCCAAGCTTGGCCTAGTGATGGCAATAGCCCCACCCAGTCCAACAGCCTGACTGCAGCTTCGTGAGGCCCTGCTGAGCTGCTCTCACTCTGACATCACAACAGGCTGAGCTACTAAATGTCATTTGCTTTACTTCAGAATAATCTGTAACAGCAATAAATAATAAATATAACTATGCCCTAGGGTATATTCTAGGATAATGTGTTACCCAGTGATAAATAAGACAATTATGCCCTGAGGGGCTATAATATAGAATCAGATATCAACATGAACTAGGAATGAAAGTGCCTTGCAGAATAGAAGACACATCTCTCTGTAACAATCAGCTAGGTCCCCAGATAAACCGCCTAACAAATTGACCACTACCATATAAGGGAAGGTTAGGTTATTATTTCTAATATTTTGCTCGGCATGAATGACTTGAGAAATTAACTTTACGTAAGAGAAGCCCATATAATTATAATGAAAGTGCATGAGCTTCCATGGATTTTGCATCCTAAATAGGGCAGTGGTCATATGTCCCTAGACATGGGATATACATTTTCTAAAGTACAGATTTGGAAAAAAATAAGTGTCTATATAAGCCCGGGAGAAACCCACATATATGTGTTAATAAGACTCTAATAATGACTGTTTCCTGCCTTTGGTAACAGCGCGATGGTTAAATGAAACATCTATCATTCCAGGCAGCTGGAGCAATGAATGGTCCAATGGAAAGTCTTACATGTTGTTTAAATTTCCCATGAGCCTCAAATGGTTCAATAAAGTTTAAAACAATAAAGTTTTAGAGTTCACAATCTCATCAATGATGGTATGAGTTGGGGTAGCATCTGGTTTCAGAAAGAAGAAGGTCGGGTAAGGCCAGCAGGAGTGCCTAGGGTGTTAGCCATGCTCTGAACAAAAGTTACATGGGTGGGCTGACTTTCTCACTAACCAAACTCCATACCTGAGGGCGGGGTAGCACTTTTATAAACTGTGCTTCCGAAAGCACATACAGAAAATATGAGTTACTAATACATTGTGTCAAATACTTTCTCTTTCATTTACAAACAGCGAATTCTAATACCCACTTTTTAAAATTTCATAGACTTTCATTTTAACTTCCAACTAAACTGAGTGGCCCTGGCACTCCTCAGAAGCTTATGTCTGTACAACTCAGGTAACTTTATTCATTTCAGAGTCCCATCCAAAACCTATGAGCATGGGGGCTGGAGAGATGGCCCGGCTGTTAAGAGCACTGACTGCTCTTTCAGAGGTCCTGAGTTCAATGTAAAAACCACATGGAGGCTCACAACAATCTGTAATGGGATCTGATGGCTTCTTCTGGTGTGTCTGAAGAAAGCTATGGTATGCTCATATACACAAAATAAATCCTCAAAAACTAAAATCTACAAGTGCCAAAACAAATACAAATACTTTAGAGACATATTTTTTAGGAAATAAAATCATGTTACCAAGACTGCAAAGGGCTTTTGCGGTGACCTTCAGACACCAGTGCGTGACTGTCAAGTTTACAGTATCCTCCAATTTCACCACCCTGAAGGAAATCTTCCTTGAATCTAGTGAATATAAATAAATAAATAAATAAATAAATAAATAAATAAATAAATAAATATTGAGCTGGAAAGTTTTCTCATGACTCAAGTTACTGGGTTGAAACTAATTTCCTAACAAAATTTTCAACAGATTTTTAAAAAAAGAATCTATTTGTTTATTTTCTTTTCACGTGTACAGGTGTTTTGCCTCCATATATGTCTGTGTGTGTTCCATGGGCATGCCTGGTGCCCCTAAAGACCAGAGAAGGACATCATATTCCCTAGAACTGGAGTCACAGATAGTTGTTAACTGCCACATGGGAGCTGGGAACCAAACCCAGATCTTCTGCAAGAGCACCTAGTACTCTTAATGGCTGAGCCATCTCTCTAGCCACTGGATTTATTTTATTTCGTTTGGTTTTATTTTGAGTCAGGGTCTCATATAACCCAGGGTAATCTTAAACTCTCTCTGTAGCAAAAGAGGACCATGAACTTCTTTATCCTCCTGCCTCCACCTTCTGAATGCTAGGATTGTAAGCATGTATCACCCATCATGCCTGGTTTATACCAGACAAGCGTAGAACCACACCTCCAAAGCCCCTCTTTGAAATTTAACTTACAAGCATGTCCTGTATAATTTACCTTTAAAGTATCTTATAAGGAACCCAATATGTCCATGACCCAAATCAACAGCGTGATCATCAGGTAAAGGACCTGGGTCACCCACACCTCACCCACTCCCAAATCCTTCAACTATTTTACTACAAAACAAACCCAAGACATAGTCCTGCCCCTGGCCACATTTCAGAGTGCCATCAGCTTTAACAGGGACCACACAGAAGTACCTGTCATGGTTTCTCTTGATGTTTCTTAAGTCCAGGTATAGACCAGTGGCTCTACAATACTGAAGGTAACGAGAGCAAACCAGACTTGAGTCGCTCTGAAATACAAATGAGAGGAGAACAGTCATCTGGGAACAGGATTAGTGCTGAGGCCTCACTGTGCTGGCCATGCTGACAGTGTTGATGTGACCTCAGGCAGAGTGAGGTCTCCACGGCTCCTGTGCTGTTTTCTCCTTTGCAACAGTCTGTCAAGGGTCCTTCTATATGTCTCTGTACATCTAGCTTACTAAGAAGATTTCCCAAATGCTCTAATTTATCACTTAAAATATACATATTACACGAACACACACACACGCACACACACACACACACACACATAAATATTTGAGGCTACCCTGAGCTACATAGTAAGACCCCGTCTTTAATATATCAAGCCATCTTTCCACTCCACCTTGGCCTCATCTACTTTCTTTTTTTTCAGGCCTTGGATTTTCTATTGATTTAGTCACTAGAAATCTATTGTTACTTTACTTTTTAAAGTATGTCATTAGTTTAAGTGCCTCAAAATATCACTATCTGATACATGTGTGAAGAGGAAGGTGGACCTTTCAGAGGAAACGAAATGACCTCTATGAGAACAATGAATACAGCTCCTCAGTGCTATGACCATCCTGTCAGGAATGAAGAAGTTCATTCTCCTCTGCGCCTCTCAGATTATTGAAACAATAGTCCCCAAGGAACTGGCATTTCCTCAGGAATTTCATGTCTAAAGAAGGAAAGGGCTGAAGCCAGGTGCCAAACCATGGATGGGGGGAATAGACTGGGATGGGGGGTGGGGGGATGGGGGTAAAGTTGTGGGTAGTAACTTCTCCTAGGAAGACATTTCCCATAGTTTTTACAACTTGTCTGACCACCCTGCAGGAAAGTCTGATGCCAACATAAGGATAGGTGAATGACCACACAGGACTACCCCTAACCAGGACTGCATGTGACGCATACCTATTGCCCTCTACCTAAACCTAAAGCTCACAGAGCACCCTGAAGATAGGCTGTGTGTAGTGTTTGGGGGGTGGAATAGAGGGGTGTTCTTGAGGGAGTCACTAAATTACTTTATTCCCCTTCCTTTCTCAATGTGACCGCACAGAATAACCCTTCTTTCTCTATTTTTTTTTTTTTTTTTTGGCTAGTACTTGTCTGTTTTAATAACTCTTTGTTCTCTACTTTTTTTTTTCTAGTACTTGTCTGTTTTCATTCTGTAGATGGTAAGTGGAACACACCTAGCTCGTTAGAGCTATTCCGGCCCATGCTCTGACTGTAGCAACTCCACTTAAGAGTCTCCACCTGTAAGTCCAGTACCAAAGATGAGGAAACAGAAAGACTATGGGTCTGAGGTCAGGCTGGGCTACAGAGAAACTCTGCATTATTGAGCCATCTTGTCTTTATATTACAAGATAAACAATAAAACAAACAGTAAACAGTAAAACTAAGCAAACTTATTCAAGCAGCGGGACACTCACTGATCTCTCCGGCTGGCAGAATGTTCGTATCTCCTCCAGCCGCTCTCGGGCATATCCAAAGTCAGCTTGTTTCCAGAACATGTCCTGGGCTGACTCCAGAGTGTCTGTCCTATTTGCAAAGAAAGAGATTTTTTAATTTTTTTCTTTTCTTTTAAATTTATTTTATGTATATTAGCATTCTGCCTGCATGTATGTATGTGCCGTCATATAAATGCCTGGTGCCTACAGACATCAGAAGGTATCAGATCCCCTGGAACTGGAGTTATTAATGTCTGTAAACCACAATGTAGGAGCTGGGAACTGAACCCAGGACCTCTACGAAGAGCAACAAGTGCTCTTAACTATCAAGCCATCTTTCCACTCCGCCTCGGCCTCATCTACTTTCTTTTTTTTCAGGCCTTGGATTTTCTATTGATTTAGTCGCTAGAAATCTATTGTTGCTTTACTTTTTAAAGTATGTCATTATGGTCCCCACTCCCTCTCTCTCCCCCAAATTATCACTATGTACATAAAGCTACCAAACAAGTTATTCTCACACTATTCCTTTATAATGAAAAGGCACAACAAAAATCTATGACGTTAGAGTCATCTGGCCCTGAAGATAATAAAGTATTACTTACTCTCTTCTCTTTACCCAACTAACCATGTATGCTAGAATATTTGACTTTCCCTGAGCATGAATGGCTATTCTTTCAGAATCTAGAGAAAACTACCAATACCTATTATCTTCTTAGCATACATCTTCTTAGTATATGGGGATGGGGGTGGGGGTTCTATAGTCGATGATGTTTCTCCCCCAGACAGAAGAAATAACAGATATTCCTCTCATTGTGAGATGGGTTGAATTCATGACCTGGATAAGCAAGTTAGCATCTGTAGGACTTACTGTCTACTGAGAGTCTAGCTGGGAACTAGGGCACAATCAAGATGCATTTCCAAGATCTTAGACGTGAGAAGGAGATTCCATAAGGAGACTTACCATCCCAAGTCGACATAGCTGCAAACGGGGGAACCAAATCTAAACTCTGGTGTGCAGGATTTCTCATAACCCCAGCAGTAGTTTAGATTTTCTAAGTATTTCTAGAACACAAAATGTATACATTTAGAATGGACTCATTTCTTCTGATGGTTACAGGAGACTCTCTGACTGTTCATGACAGAACTTTCCCATATATGTCTAACAGTATATATCTAACAATATATATCCATATATCATAATATTCTGAGAAGGACAGGCTCAAGAGCCTCCACCATAGTCTCTATTCATGCCTTCATGTCTGCTGTATAGCCAAAGTCCAGGCTTCAGACGGACAGCCAAAGACAACCTGAAGTAGGATTTTCTGAGGTATCTTAAGGTGCTGTCATCTGTCATTCTCAGAAAGCAAACTGATTCTTTAATCAGTAACTAGAAGAAAAAAACAAAAAGCATATCCTTTGGAATTTCTGTTACTAAAAGAATTCCATGTTAAGGATAGCTGGGTGACTTCAGTCATCAATCATGATCAGCAAAAACAGCACAAGGTCAGGGCTCTCCAGCCCTGGAGGCCAGGGCCCTTTTGCTAGGCCCAGGAGCCATGCTGGTCAGATTCCATAAACTTCCGGTGCCAGCACCATGGGAAAGGAAGAGTCTTACAATGGCCCTCTTTGATCTCTAAGGCCTCCGGAGATATCTTAATGGGCTCTGTTTGAGACCTTTCCAAGCTCACAGTCTCACGATTAGAACCAAGGCTGAGGTGTGACAACTGAAAGGAAAGGCTAAGAAGCCCCCAGAAGTGCAGAAAGGAGAGGTGTGATATTCTTTACTTTGGGAAAATGTTCTTTTCCCCCTGAAATCTCATATATTTTGGGTTTTTCAGAATCCATAGATCACTTAAGCTGACCAGTTAATTTTCTCAGTGTTTTCAATGTTAGGTTTCCTTCTTGTGTGTGGGCTATGGTTTTCAGCCAATTTTCATCTCTTCGGAATATTACACAAAATGAAAACAGTGATAGACTCCTGGTGAAGGTAGAAGTCCAGCTTTAGCTGTGGCCTATGAAGCTGAAGAACAAACCAGCTGCACCCCTGAATGAATGAGAGCAAAGTACGAATGTACTTAAGACAGTGCCATCGTGAAGTACATCCTTGTATGAGTGAGAGAACAATGCCACGTTGTCTTTGTATGTTAACCTCAAAAATTAACTTTAAAAATATAAAGATGCAAATAATAAACTAAAAAAATAGCATGCTGAACACTAGAAAATGGGTACGGATAAAATAAGACCTACCTTATATGGACAGTGGGCATCTTCTCTGCACACAGAGGCAACATGTCTGTTGTTGTACAAGAAGAAGGGAATGTGCTCCTCTGGGAGGCGGAGGCTGGAGTAGTCATACAGGGCTTTGGCAGGCTCATTGTTAGCCTCAGAATGAGCCTCGTCCTGGCCACTCAGTGGGACTTCATGAAGCAAGATTCCAAAGACAAGCAGCATTAACATAGCAACCTGCAGACCTAGAGATCCAATTGAAAACATCTTCATTAAGAATGCCTCTTTTAAATTGGGCGGTGGCGCATGCTTTTAATCCCAGCACTCAGGAGGCAGAAGCAGGAAACTCACTCTGTGAGTTCGAGGCCAGCCTGGTCTACAGAATGAATTGTAGGACAGCCAGAGCTACACAGAGAGACCCTGTCTTGAAAAAAAAAAGGAAAGCCCCTTTAGACAGGAGTGGTAGCAACCATCTAATCCTAGCACTTGGGCAGAGGCAGAAGGATCTCTGTGAGTTCAAAACCATCTAGGTCTACATCTCCCTTTAGGACATGGAGTTTGAAAGTTGTGGGGAGTGAATATATTTGAAATACATTGGATGTATTGTGAAATTCACAAAGACTAAATTTAAAACAGTAGCTTGTTTAAAAGTTTTTAAAGCCCCCGTTAGGGTTGGGTATGTGGCCCAGGGGTAGTTGCTTGCCTAGCATTCATGAGGCACTGTGCTCAGCCCCCAGTATGGTGCAGTAAATAAATATCCCCCCCTTTAAAAGTTAAATTGCTAAGTATGATTACTATAAATTCTGCTATGTTATCAACTCATGTCCCTTTGATCACCAAATATTTATTGAGCACTTGCTATGTGCCAAACACTGTGCTAGGAGCAGGGTGTACAAGTGTGGGAAACAGACCCCACCCCAACTTTCCATATTTCAGAGTTGATTATTCAGAGAGACCAAAGAACTTTTCAGGTCCAGGGATGGCCCCAAAAATGCTGTTGTCTTATAAAATTGAAAAAAGGAAAAAGAAAGAAAGAAGAAAGGAAGGAAGACATTTGCATCTGTGACCATTAATAAACAGTGGATGCAGCCATGGGTCTCTCTATCTCCTACCATCCCTTTGTGTGCCCAAGAAAGAGGACCACAGATGTCTGTATCCTTGTAGATAGCAAGACAACTCCAGGTAGCAGCACACACTCTCTGGTGTCAGCCCTCCCTAGCCTGAACTATCTCCCACTCTACAAGGGCCCAGGCAGCTATTAAAGCTGTTCACAAGGCTTCGCTACACTGTGCCCCTCAGGGTCTCACATTTATTAGGCACACGGTGAGGTTTGTACATTTTGTTTCCTGTCAACTGCTTATTGTCAGTTTCTCTCACAAGCTAGCATCATCAGAGCTTCAGAAGGAAAGAATTCATTTAAAATTTCCCTACACAGGACTGAACAAAACATTAACATTATAAGAAATGACAGTGATCAAGAATTTACTGGATTTCTGCTCACCCCCCACCCCGCCCCAAGAGCAGATCAATTTCTTGGGTCAGTTTCTCCTATACATTCCCTGACCAACTCACACCACTCTGCCCCCTTTCCTGACAACAAGGCTTGTTTTCCCTAAGTGTCTCTTCTAAAAGATAACTGGACACATCCTGGGCATTCATTCCATAGTAAAGTCTGGCCTTTCTAAGGCTGTAAGGACCATACAACTTTCAAAATCAGCCTTCACTGATGTTTACAAATAGAATGATCTGTTCAAGTTCCAGGCCTATAGGGTTATACGGTTAAAATGGTGATGATCATGGGAATAAATTCTTTTTGCCAAGTAAGTAATTAAAGGTGTTCCTTGCTTTGGAGGCCCTGAAGGCTATGTTGCTATCCCTTGTAAATCCAAGGGACTTTGATCTAAGAGTGAATTACTAGCAATTTTATAAAATTCAAAAGTCCATATTGAGTGCCAGGCAGTGGTGAGTTCCAGGACAGCCAGAGTGATACGCAGAGAAACCCTGTCCGGACCTCTTTAATCCTCAGAATCACCCAGAAGCTGCTGATGTTTTGGATAGCTTAAAACCTGAGAAAAATAAAGTACATTACCTTAAAAGCATTCCACAAGAGACCAGTTGCTATTTTAACATAAAGGAACTACTAAGAGAGAAAATAACTTAACCAGAAAATCCCTAGCCAGAGGCCCAGGCTCAGGATGCTTGATTCTCCTCAGTGAATGATGAATACTAAATCTCTCAAAGCAAAGTCAGAGCGCAGGGGCCCCTGGACACAGTAACTCAGCGAGCAGACACTTGAGCAGGAAGGAGGTAGCCCACTTCACACCACATCACTCAATCCACAACAGCAGGATAATTAGCAGAGAAAACATTCCTAGGACCAAAGCCTGTTCCCGGTTCTCACTGCAGTAATACTGCTCGCTAATTCCCAGGGCTGCCTGGGCCAGTGCCAACCTCAGGATCACAGCAGGCCACCCACCCCTTGGACTCACCCTCTAAGTCAGGGCTAGGAGCTCTAGGTCCTGAACTTCGAGTATTCAAATCCACGGCTCTGCAATGCGTTCTAAGCCGGTTAACAAAACTTGACCATTCATGGAAAAAAGTAACCCTTGGCCACGGAAAAATCTAAAGAAGCAGATCAGACAGTTGGCTTTTGCAAGGGAGGGCATGTACCCACTTGCATACGCTGGATGATGGTTCCCTGTGGTGCATGAAAGTACAACTTCGGGGCCTGGCAGAAAGCCTTCCTGGAGTTTGAGTTCTCTGGCAAGACTTGGCAGGGATGAAAGCTTTAGTAGGTTAGGCTACCTCGTCTTTTTGCACAAAACAGCCAAGCGCGCTCCACTCGTGTATGGCTTGATTGGATTTCCACAGGCCTAAAAGGAGAAGAGGGAAAAACGGTAAAAATCTGTACGCCGTAAAATATGAGACCTGGAGTTACCAGGACTACCACATGAATGGCTTTAGGGCATTGCTCCGCAACAGAGCTGGCGGTGAGCAGATGAAAAGTGCATCTGGGACTGAAAGACTATAAAGTCCCAAGGTAGGCAAGCGGACTGAGCTCAGATAGGGCTTGTCTGCGGGAGGCGCGGAGGTGGCGATCCTGCTGTGGCAATCCTCCGGTTGTCTGTGGAACGTCAACCCCTCCCCTGTGTGGCCGGGTCAGCCCCTCGCGCCCGGCAGCAGCCAACCCTGCCTGGGCTGCTTGGGGAAGCAGCTGTCCTAGGAGGCGCTCGGGTCCCAGGTGTGCCGGGGAAGGTCTGGAGAAGCGACTCCGCCCCAGCATGGGGATCGAAGCAACAGGGCAGGCCTGGCTGGGCATCGCTCTTGCCTACGGCTACTGATCGGCTCCCGGTAACCAGCTGAAGGCCGCCGGCCTGGATCAGGGTCCCAACATCCGGCTGCGGGCCCACAGTGGTGCAGTCGCCGGCCGGGAGCAGGCAGGGACGGCGCGGGGCCCACCTGCAGGTTGACTAGGGAGCCGCAGCGGCGGCGGCGGCGGCGGCGGCAGCGGCTCGGGAGCAATGAGACGTCACCGCCCGCGGCCGCGAACCGGAAACCTCCGGCGCCCAAGCCGGGCCAGGGGGCGCCCGGGAGCAGCCGCGGCACCTTGGTCTTGAGCTCAAGGGCGGACCCGAATGTCCCGACAACACCCGGCGACCAGAGTGTCTGGAGGGCGCTGTTGGACACCCATCAGCCAAGGTTACGAACAGCCTGGGACCCGCGGCCTGATTCATCGGGGACACCCGCTTACATCCCCTCCGGGACGCGGGACACCGGGCTGCAAGTCCCTGGCCGCTCCTCAAGGCGCTTCGCAGGCCTCCGACACCGGAGAGTAGGCAGGCGGACCACGGAGCTGTTACACATCACCCAGGGTTGTGATTTTATTGCTTTTTCACTCTGAGCAGTTGGTGTCCTGATTTTCAAGTGAGACTGGAGTGGGACACTCTCTGGTGGGTAGTGAAAGTACTGTAGATTCTAGGGAATTTTACCTGTCCATGAACTGTCCAAGTTCAGTGGCTACACTTAATTTTTATGTTTTTGCTTTTTCATGATTATTCCTATTCTAACTGCTTGTTTAGGTGATTTTGATTAGGTGTATGCACATCTCCCATTCCAGCATGCCTTCTGGAGCAACCTTAAATTCTGATTCAAGGGCTGACAAGGTGGCTCAGAGTTTTCAAAGCGCTTGCTTCAGCAAGCCTGCTGACCTAAGATGGGTCCCAGGAACCCACCACAGAAGGAGAGAACCACTCACTAACCTTGTTCTCTGACCTCCTGGATGCTCTTATACCTTCCTATACAATATTAATAAATGAAAAAAAAAAGATCCAGCTTATATTAATGGTGCCAAAATAAACATGCGCGGATGCATACAGTTCACAAGGCTTGCATGTCTTACACATTTTAAGAAGCTATTATGAGAACTGAAACCAGAACTGGTGGTTCAGGCCTGCAGTTTCAGCTACTCCACAACCTGAGGCAGGAAAAAGAAGTTCAAGACATCAGGGCAATTTAGTGACCACAGAGATCAATGCTCGCCTATCATGTGCAAGACTCCAGGCTCAATCCCCAATAACATACAACACACACATGGAGCAGACATGTTAAGGAAGGCAAAGGCAGGTGGATCTCTGTAAGTTTAAGGCCAGCTTCATCTATGCAGCAAGTTCCAGACCAGCTAGGAGACACTGTGTTTTATGTGTGTGTGTGTGTGTGAAATTTGTGTATATATATTTTAATATGTATATAATTTGTTTTATATCCTGTTCAGTATGCATTGTGTTGGCATGTTATTTACATGTGTCAAACATACATTAAAGAACATTGAAGTTTTTTAAATGAATTTTTAAAATTTTATGTATGGGTATTTTGCATGCACGTGCGTGCTCATATATACACAGGACCAGAAGAGAGCATCAGATCTGGAGTTAGTTATTAGCTGCTATGTGTGTACTAGGACTTGAACTCAATCCTCTGAAAGAGGACCAGTGCTCTTAACTCAGCTACTAACCACACTAATAAGCACTTGTAAGCATAGCCAAGGCAATGCAACCAGGGTCCTTGTGCGATGGGACCAACAGCAGCAACTTTAGGAGACTTTTTCAGCTTATTTGGTACTGTCCTGGTTTTGTTGTTTTTCAGGAAATACAGCTTTCCCATTACTGCTATGTAACATGTAATTATGGTTATTTTAAATCAACTTTAAAAGGAGCTTGAGGTGCAATGATACACAGTTAAAAACAAGTACATGAAGTAGGTGAAACGTTTGCTAATCACAGACTAGCCTAATTGTAAAAATAAACTAATCACGCTGGCACGCTATCAACATGGGGCTCTTTCAGATGCTAACATCTATCTTAAGGAGTCACTGTGATTCATAGGAAGCAAGATATGGAATTTAAAAATGAAAATGAGTTCTGTATTACTATAATAGTTATTTCCAAATTCCTCAAAATAATCATTATAAAATTTTAAATTTTGACTCTTCAAAATGATCTTTTGAGACAAGACTTCTCTGTGTAGTTCTGGCTGTCCTGGAACTCACTCTGTAGACCAAGAAGGCTTCAAACTCAAAGGTCTGCCTGCTGGGATTAAAGGCAAGCACCATCACCACCCGGCATAAATTGATATTAAAATAAACTCAAATGCCACCAACAGAAAATTGAGTGAATAAGCTAACTAGCTCTGTTAGCTTTGAGTTTCTGTAACAAACCCCTGAAATAATTACATTACAAGTGATTTTAATTTTTTTAGCTCAGTTCAAAAGTGTTAGTTCATGGAATAAAAAGATGACTGCGTGGACTTTGCACATACAGAAAGATGTAGAACTTTGCACATACAAAAAGTAATTGATGATGTCTTTGTACACTGCACATTACTGAGTGGAAAATGGTGCTTTTATTTACCTGAGGGGTACATACCATCTACACACACACAGGCACAAATATACACACCAAACACAGACACAGACATATACACACGCACTAAACACACAGCCACAACATACACCCTCCAAGCAAGACACCACACACATATCACATACCACATCTACATATGTGCATACATACACTTCACAGATAAAATAGTATTTAAAAATCTTTACTAAAAGGAAGGACTATTTATATAAGATAAAAAGGGATCTTGAACGATGTACAGTTACACTATTAAAAAATTTTAAAAATATGCAGCAATCCTTGAAAGCTGAAATGGACCTAAATGTTCTCCAGTTGCTGTGTGTAACACAAAGGAACTACTCAAACAAGTTTAAAACACATTTTGTGTTTCCTTCAAAGACAGGGAGAATTAAAAAACAACCTAGGCTATTCTCCGCAACTGGACAGTGAGTGACAATTCTGGTATTGTGTGACAAGCCAAAGTGAAGTAGCTAGGATGAAATAGCGACACTGTGAGGGAAGATTCAGGAAGAAGTCATACGGATATCCTGCAGTTCTGGATTTTCTTGGAAGTCTCAATCTCTCTCTCGCATATCCCACCACACAGGGTGTATACAAAGGCGCACGTCTGCGAATTACGGTAAAATGAAATATATAAGCAGACTTTGAAATCTTTATTTAAATCAGACCCATGCTTATTTACATTACTTTTCATTTGGAATTAAAATATCAATCTGCAGTTTAAATCATACTTTTAGCCCTTTACAAAATATGTAGCTATTTTGTTTTTTTAGTTTAAAACTGACCAAGAATAAGAAAACTTGGACCAGCTTTTTTGTAATGAGGATGAGAAACAATCCCTAGAACATACATGTCTATACTACTAAACAGTAGTAAAATAAGACATTTTACACTCATTTCTTCTTAATTTGGGAGCTTTCTTTAAAATACTACAAATTGTGTGCATCTAAAACATTTTTTTAACTTTATATGTATGGATGTTTTGTCTGCATCTAGGCCTGTGCACCACTGTGGTGTGCACACCAGAAGAGGGTGCTCCTGGGATTGGAGATACAGATGGTTGTGAGCCACCACATGGGTGCTGAGAATTGAACCCAGGCCCTTCGGAAGATCAGCAAGTACTCTCTAGAACAAAAGCATGTGCTTTTAAATAAGCATTCTAATAAAACTTTCAATTAATGAAATAATTGATGGGAAACCTACTTCCCAAATATTCTTTACATTTACTTAACTACAAAAACTCAAATTCTTCTAAGTCAGAATCATCCACACTTAGAATATTTTGAATTGTACTGTCATGTATTTGGTACATTCCACATGCTAAACGCTATAGTGTTCTCAAGAGAGGCCCAACAGCAGCAGTCTCCACTTGGCCTCCCAGGGAGGCACAAGGGTATGATACCTCCAAACACCTGTGCCTCTTAATTCCAAGTATGTGAGGCTTTTCTCCCCCAAGAATGGAAGTATCTAATTGCAAACTATTTTATGCATTAGAATATTCTACTAGCATATGGGTAGATAATTTTCAATGATACATAACAAAAAAATAATTAAAGGGCAACCAATGTTTAATAAGTTTTCTGCCACTTACTGGGTTATTTACAAGAAATTTATTCAACTTGCCCCTATCAATTTGAAATGTACTGAAAGGTCTAAGTATATTCTAGCCAACATAAAAGCAGTGTGAACATCAGCTATTAATTTATAGATGAAGCAGATAGAAACGGTTGCATGTCATTTTATAAATAAATAAGTTGAAAACATTTTAAGATTTTAAGTGTGCTGATTTTATTAATGTTATTAAGGACCAAGAAAAATATTTAATGTTGATATTATAACATTTAGAATTTAAAACAGGAAATTTTAATTTCAAAATCTTTTCTCTGCCACATTTCCAAATTATCTGTTTAAAAAGTATTTTACATTTCCCAAACTACTGGTTTCAAATGTTTGCCAAGAATTTTGAAATTCAGGTTTCCTGTCTAACTCTCTCTATATATTTATTGCCATCAGACTTATCATCTTGCCCCTGAATATTAAAACATTTTAAAGCTAACAAAATGTTATGAGGCTGCTTTCTACCACTAAAATACAGAAACTTAACTTCATGACTGTTACTTTCACCAAAAGAACATTTATCCACATTAAGGAACTGTTTCTTCCACAGCAGAAACACAGGAACATGAAATAAAAACAAGGTCACTTGAATTACCCTTCAAAATTCTCCATTCTGCAAAATGGCTATTCACAGCTGTGTTCTCAAGTATAGTTTAAAATGCAAATAAAATTTACAGTAAAATTTTTACTTGAAATTCTACCTTCTTGTTGGGGGGAAGACAGTTTTAAGACCCTCAGTGGATGCCTGAAACAGTAGAAGCTACCAACTTCCAGCAAGATAGCCAATGTTGATGTTCATCTTTCCATTAAAGGAGCACTTCTGGTTAATCTTCGGCTTCTTCACTTTGGGGCCATTAAAGAACAAAGGGATTACCTGAACACAAGCACGTCCATATTATTACAGTAGACCCAACAGCTGAGGTGGCTCAGTGACTGACAAGGGGGTGTGAATATACTGGAGAAATGGAGTCAAACAGTGGGATTCCAGCAGGCTACTCTGAGCACCATACACTTTAACATTTATTAACTCTATTTCTGGAATTTCCATGTATTTTTGGATTATTTTTTTTTATCTTAGATAGAACCACAAAAAGCAAAAGAACAGATAAAGAGGGACCGTGATAAAAGCAATTAAATAATTTAAGTAATAAAATCTATCAAAATATTTTACAGGTCTAAACTACAACCTGATTAACAAAGTAACATTTGGAAAAGGGAAAAACTATATTCTAAACTTATTCTACACTACTCTTTGCTATTTGTTTGTTGAAGGTTCAAGGAAAAACTGTTAAACTACACAAAATTATAAAATCCCCAATTTGAATGTACTCCTATTACTTTTCTGTTTTGCTATGGAGATTGTTTTAAAACATTCATTTTTAATGTTCCAAAATATAATTGTATGAAACTAATTTTTAAGAGTAAATTGACTAATTTTAAGAGTACATTTTGTTAATGACTTTATTATGTTAAGATTCATTTAACACCGTAGTAAAATACTTCAAAAGGACCTGCTACTGATGCTATCTATCACAATTTACTACAAGCAACATTTCCCACAACCCAATTATGCCTAGTTAATATTGAATATTTGTAGCTTTCTTTGGATAAGTAACAAAAAGCATCCACATTTGTTCACACTTCATTGTGGAAGATACATGGAATAAATTTTCAAAACAAAAATATTTTTAAGTTTAAATTACTCTTTAAATTCTAGACATGTCAGTGTGACTTCTGCTTTTAAAGGAAAACAGTTTATAATTTAGTAGCCACAGGCTTAATAACCTTTTTACTCAAATGTTTAAAACACTTTTAAGAAATATGTTGAAGATTTCAGTGTGAAAGATTTCAAAATTTCGATGTTAACATTACTCTGTAAATCTCTCAATATGTACAAACACATACAAATTAGATACAATTAATTATATATCCACAATAATACGAAAACACCAGTCTCCTTTCCTGTGGATAAAGTAATAAGTCTCTGTGCTGTACAAGGCACCGGAAAGAAAAAAAAAGCTTTAAAAAATAAAATTTTAAAGAATAATTTCAAAAATAAAATTCAAATATTACATAAAATAATTTAACTGCAAATATTACTACATACTAGAAAATAATTTTTTTAAAAGGTTTTTACAATCTACACCAAATCCCAGTTTCTAATTCTGTAAAAGAATTTATTGGAAGTCTGCATTTATATATTAAGTGTTTACATTTAGTTTGATGGGAATACACACAAGTTAACTGAGCCTCTGTCTTAGAAGTTCATCTATTTGAGTTTTATACATATTTTTTACATCTTCAAGATCCAGGCGAAGTTCCTCTGCTTCTTCTGCTTTTTCTCCATACATCTGCAGAATAGTGTTGTATCTTTGATCCAAATCCTAAAAAATGTTTATATTTTTTAATGATCATACAAATACAAGTCACTAGAAAAAATATCACAAGTTGAACAAAAATATAAACTCATCTCTTTTAAAAGTTAAACTCACAGCCAGTCTATCTAGGGATACAGAGCAAGACAGAGGAAGTGCTTTTAAAGGCTAGATGGAGGGCTAGAGGAGATGGCTCAATGAGGAAGAGCACTTCCTGAGAAGCACGAGCACCTTGCTTCTAACCCCCCAACACTGACATAGAAAACCATGTGGCCTGTAACCCCAGCACTGGGAGGAGGCTCACTGGAGCTGCAGCCGGTCAGCCGGCCTACCCACAAAGCATCAAGCTCCCGGCTCAGTGAGACTCTGGTGGGAGTAACAGAGGGGAGAGTGATGGAGTAGGACAGCCACTTATTCTTCCCGCCTCCTAGCGTGCATCACAGCATACACATGTACATAACACACACAGATACAATACACACACACACTCCAATCATATTTTTCCATTAAATGTGTAATTCTCTCCAACTAAGACTTAGTAACTCTCCCTCCCATTAATTTAAATATCCTCCATGAGATTTTTGTCTTCGTGACGAACTTGGTTTAAGTATTGGTTGGCATTTATCCCACAGGACATGTCTGCCCTAACATTCGATTATGTCACAGTGATGTGATAAAACAAACATTAAGTCAAATACTATAAAGACATACATAAAATCTTGTTCTTTTCTTTGATTAGAACTAAACGTTTTTATCTAAACAGTTTATATAGACAGTAACACAGGCAATAGATTCATCTTTAACATTTACTCAACTACTGACTACTTAATTTTCAATGAAATTACCAATTCATCCATATGCATTTTATGTAAACTAAAACTCAGTAATTTAATAACTGGATTAAAATGCCGCAGACCAATCCCTAAGTGAAGAATACTCACTCGCAGCTGAACTCGAAGCTTGGGTATCTCTTTCACTTTCTCCTCAAGTTCGTCATTCTGGTTTGTTAATTTAACTAGCTCTTCGGACATTATGGATCGAGTTTTTTCTAGGTTACTAATTTCTAGCTGAGAAACATAATCATAAAATGGTTTTAGTAGAAACATACCTTGTTTAAATGCTCTTATTAACATAAAAATACTTAGTGTGTCATTTTTTGGAAAACAAACATATGTCAATATATAATCCTGAAGCAGTGGAAAAAAATGGGACCCCAACTTTCTTTAGAAGTTTATTAATTAGAGGGTTCACTAAGCAAGCAAGAAAGAAGAAAATCTAGTGATTTGTTACAAAAATGAAAGCAGACTTTTCTCTAACAATACACATTTCCATTATTCTATGTTACTAGAAAAAGTCATAGGAATGAGAACATACTTTAATGCTGTCCCACCCAACTGTGTGGGTTTTATCACTAAAAGCTTTCACCACTATCTGAGAATCTAAGCAGCACTCTCAAGCACAGCATCCTAGGAAATCTACATCAAACCACATTAAGATTGTTCAAATGAGAATGGGAAGAGCTATTCATTTTCAGTGTATACAGTTTATCATCATAAGCTAAAAACGGCTTTCTAATCCTCACTCCATAAGCAATACAGTCCCTGCCTCTCTGAGTTGTTTCCTCTTGTGCAGGTCTCTCTCATGCTATTCAGTCCTTGCAGTGGACAAGTCTGAGAAGCTGCTCCTGTGCCATACACAGAAACAACGAAGCAAGCATGCTGTTTTAGCGCTTCCTTTTTTTTGTTGAGAAGAGACATTGGGAAGGAAGGGGCCACTCCTGCTCTTAGATACCCTAAGTCCTCTCTGGGGAAGGCCATGGTATAGGCTCCCAGTATGTCCTAGGACAGAGCAGATACATCTACCCAATTCTGGCAGTCAGTCGGTTAGGAGAATCTATCATTTGACTCTAGCTTTTATTATTAATATGTGTGATACACATTGGGTTTTACATGTCAGCGATGCATGTTATTTTCCAATGTGCTCAAAATTCAGATGAAATGAAGGCTATCACTTACTGGGACCCATTATTTCATGGGCTTCTACAGCATACTTAATTTGTTTTCAATACCTGTAAATGACTAATTTCTCCTTCCCTCAGCTTTAGCTGAGACTGCAGATTTTCAATAATACTTGATCCGGCTCCCATCCGTACAGCTTCATAAAGATTGCTCCCACTGGCTGATGTGGACATTGGCCCAAATGAATGCTCATGAGACTCATCCTATTCAATTAAAGAACACACACAGACAATTAACATATATCATGTTCTGTGATCAAGTTCAAAGACCCTGATAATTCTTGCTTTGAAATGTCTTATTAGTTTTCTCAAAAGAAGAAAATCATGTGTATTTCTTCACTTCAATTAGCACCACATTCCCCAACAATGTCAAGGGGACAGCCAATCTGGCGATTGCATGTTCCCTTTAGCACTACTCAAGGTAAGAAGTAAACATATATAAGAACTGTATGCCATACCTGAGACAGGAAGGATGCTTGCAGCCCTGCAGCGTCTACTCCACTTATAGAGCTGGAACGTGACATGGTGGGAGTGCTAGAAACAGAAAACGGCTTGTGGTCCTTTGGGAGGAAAAAAACTCTTTTAAGACTGAGAAGCAAAAAATAAAGGAAGCAAGAAAATTTCTAGAATTAATGAAAACAAAGGCAGCATATTCTCCATAGCAACTGATCATAGACCAATCTGAATGCACTCCAATGACTTCAAACCTGTTCTCATGGAGCACTGACAATGTTACCATATTCAGCCCAGTAATTTTAGAAGGGGAAAAACTTAAGACATCAGGACAACCAAACCACAGCCCAATCCACAGTCATCCACAACAGCTTAGCTATACATATTAGCACAAACCAACACAATTCAGTACCTTTTCTTTTAGTGCTTCTTGAGTGAAAATGGTTTTCTTCTTTTCTTGTTCAACTTTCATTCTTTCCATTTCTAACTGACTGCTCAAAAGTGTCTAAAGGAGAGAGCACAGCAAGATCATTTTGAGATACTAGCCCACGGCACCAGCAAGATTCAACTTGCAAAGCTCAGAATGTCAAGTACAAGCTGTCCCTTCACCACTGAAGACAAAGTCCCAGCTCACCCTGCTTAGCTCTGCAGCAGTTTGCTGCCGTCCCATCCATCTCTAATGCAAACCCTGAGGGGAGCAACACTAAGAAATACCTTTTCTTTCCTTGTCTCTTCAATCGTTCTTACATATTCATCTTTTAGGTTTTCTAATTCAACCTGGTACCTAGTAAACAAAACAAAAAGGTGACAGGACAGACTATTAAAACCTCTCCACTTGTCAAGTCCCAGTTACACAGTCAGCAGTCATTTTGTCACCAGCTCAGCATCGAAGACTTTCCAGCTAACTGTTCCAAATCACTGAGACTCAAAAGTTCTACTCCACTTCCATTTTTAAAATCAGTACTTAGAGATTTAAAATAAGACATTTAAATAGTAATTTTAAGTACCACCATTCCAAGTTCAAGTGTGGCAAAAAAGAAAAGAGAAAGAAAGAAAATAAAAAGCAGGGGTCAAGGGTAAAAGAATATCCATTATGACTTTATGTAATTTCAGATAGATGATTTTACAGGCTATGGTTTTAAGAGAATCCAAATTCTTATTTAAAAAAAACTGGAAGACTGCATAGCCGCCACCACTCCTCCTTCCTTCCTCCCCAACTCCCTTGCTTTTGTTGGTGGCATTAGCGTTTTTAAAAAACCATTACTGACAGAACAAATACTTTACCTGGAAAAGCACAATATATGTAGCCTGAACATAGATAGCATGCAGCCTCACAAGACCTGCAGTGGATCCTTCCCTAGCTTGATGCATGTCACTAATGACCCTAACTTTTAATACTGCAAGGTGTTCAGTTCTCCATCCAATGAAGTTAAGAGCCAAGAAAAATACTTTGCAAAAGTCCTTTAAGATGTCAAGAACCACAGAAAACATCACATAAATATACTCACCGACTATTTTCATCCTCTAGTTTTCTTAGTTTATTTTTCTCCGACTCTAGCTGGGCCTGAAGTCTACTGTTTTCCTGTCGTAATATCGCATTCTGTGACTCTACTGAAGACATCTGGATTTTGTTGGCCAGGAGTTCTTCTGTAGCTGCACGTTCTCTTTCAACTGCTGCAGCCAACAAGGTCTGTGATTCACCTGATTATAGAGGAAGAAAAGTCATACACATACACCAGGGAAAGATCAGACACTAGGTTGGTTCTAACCTCAAATTTCCAGTGACTCAGGTTTCCAGACTAAGACAAGAAGCCAGTACTGCTCAACGCACAAGTTAGCATTCTCTCCTCAGCATATCTACTTGAAAGCACTGTTATTCAATAACAGGGGAGTGACAGATAGCACTGGAGCAACCAAATATTCACGGACAGAAGTCGACTAGTGAAAGACAAATAGAATAAAAGAAAGATAGAACAATAAAACAGAGTCCTTCAAAAACGAACTTCTGCAGCAGGTGAAGAAGAAGAAACGACAAGCGGGCTAAGGCTGGAGCTCCACTGGTTGTTTACTTGTATAGCATGCATGAGGCCATGGTTTCATCCCCAGCACTGCGTAAGCCAAGGATGGTGATGTACATCTACAATCCCATGACTTGGAAAAAGCAGCAAGAGGATTAGGAGTTCAAGGTCATCCTTGGCTGTCTACAGAGTTGAGGTCAGTTTGAGATCAGTTTGAGATCAATTTGGCTATATGAGACCCTGTCTTATTTATTTAGTTGTTTGTTTGCAATATAAAAAAGACAAGCTACAAACTGGAAAAAATAAACACAAGACACATGGGCAGGTTTAGTGTTTAAAGTACAGATAGAACTCTCCAAAGTGACTGTGGTCAGTTTAGTTAAAAAATGAGCAAAAGCTATGAATAGTCAATTCATCCTATAGTATGGATAAAGCTATGAACAGGCAGTTCATCCTACAGTGTGGACAAGTAGAAAGCAAGCACATGAAACAAGGCTCAGCAGCAGCTCTCATTAGGGAAAAGAAAATTAAGATGATGAGATATATGAATGATAAATTAAAACAAAACACAACAAAAACAAAGAACCGAAAATGCTACCAAGGTTGTAAACGAACTGGATTACTCCCATGCTACAAGCACTGTGAAAACAGTTCAGCATTTTTTCTGAAAACTAAACACGAATGCCCACATGGTCCAGCAACTGCATATTTGGTCCTTTATCCAGAGACATGAAAATTTTTACACCCACATTCACTCCTGAACACAGACAGTTACAACAGCTTTATCCACCATAGTCCAAATCTGAAACCAGACCAGATAGCCTTCCCCACGTAATGGAGAAATAAACTACAGAACAGACATTCCAAGCTAACACTCAACAATCAAAGGACTACACTACTGACATGTTTATAACTTCTTAAAATTGTATTTGTTTGTGTTGGCTAGAAGTATATGAATAGAGTATATGAATAGAGTAATACTCTCTATTCAGTAATTTCCCTTCGCCAATTTCAATGTCCCAAAGTTTAATTAACAGAACAGGGAAGCTGCCCTGAACTGAACTCAACACTTTGGAGTGATAACTTCTATGTGCGTTTCAGCAAACAACACTGAGACAACAGGATCTGAGCTGGGAGTCCCAGCACTCAGATAAAAGGCAAGTACAGTAGTATATGCCTGCAATCCCACAGCTAGGCAGGCAGAGACAGGAGGATGCTCTTGACTTGCTAGTCAGCCAATCTACGCAAATCAGTCAGCTCCAGGTTCAGGGAGACCCTGTCTCAAAAAGTAAGGTGGAGGAGCAATTGAGGAAGATAGCAGATATCAACCTCTGGCCTCTGTACACATGCACATACATATGGGCACATGAATTTTCACACATACTTGTACATACAAACAAGCATGCCACTCCAACACAAACACAACAAACGAAACAGCAGGCAGTAAAGTATGTGACACAGTGTGTAAGAACAAACGCTTTAAAAGAGTCCTGACTGAGGTATCCATAAAAAAGGGGAAAAGACATATTTATACATTAGACACAGATGTCACCATGAGATCAGGTGAATTCCAGTGTCATACCACTATTCTATTTCTACACACAAGACAGAAAGTCTCCTGCATCAAACATAAAATACTAAAGAAGTTACCAAGCCTATCAGAAAGATTCTTCTCGAGCGTCTCCCATGATGATGTCTGGGATCCTAGAGTTGCTTGTAAATTTTCTATCTGTCGAAGCAACGGTCTTGTTGTTGATGAAACACTTTGACTCAGCTCTTGGTTTCGATTCTCTGCTTCTTGGAGTCTCTGAATCAAAAAATTCTTACTTTATTACCATTGAAGAGGAAAAGGAAATGCTAAAATCAACAGCAAATATAAACTTTAAATTTTTCCAAGAAAAAATTATTAGCTATCTTACTTTTAAAAAGAAAAAAATATTGAGTACACAGCAAGTCTATCATCATACAATTACTTCCTTTAAAACATAATCAGATATTTTCCTATTTTTTTCCAGGAGATTTCTTGTACTTGGTTCACATAAGCTACAAAAACATGTTCACTGGTAGTAATACTTTCAATCCAGGAATACTAGCCTCAGGAGTGGTCATGTTACTTCAAGAGACACACTTTTGATCTTGTGTTTGGGAAAGCATGACAATACCTGCTGAAGTTCACTGATCTCATGGCGTAAGTAATCCTCTTTTCTGGCAGCTGCCTGTTCTGCCCGTTGCAGCGCTAGCCTAAGGTCCCCCACCTGCAGGATAAACAATACTCTGTCAGAACATTAGCTGTAACTTCCTGCTGACATTTGTGTTGACTTTTTATGTATGACACTCCATGCTAAACAATGAGCACACATCCTGCTCCTTAAGCAATGCCAAGACTATAAACATATTCACTACCTAACTGAAAGAACTGTTAGCCTAGAAAAGTAGGGAAATATGTATAGCCCTGCCATACAATAAGAGAGAGAGGAGTTCAGACTAACGAATAAACAAACCAACAAACATCCCCTAGGTACTGAACTATGGGCTGTGGCACACACCTTTTAGTATGTCAGTACAAGCATTTCCATTTCCAGGCCAGCCTAGGCTGTCCAGATAGCTCTGTGCTACATAGTAGGCCCTATCTAAACAATAAAACAAAACTAAAGAGAAAGAGTGTGATGCTGTATGCTTGCAGTCACAGCTATTAGAGGTATGAAACAAGGGTTGAAGGTCATTTGCACAACACTGTTTCAGAACAAGAACAAGGAACAAAGTGCTGCTCACACACAGCTACACACTGGGTAACTGCCATGACTTTTTAATATTGCGGCATATTTAAATAATCAGAAAATGGTGTTGGCATCTATCTGGCTATTGCAGTACTGAAGATTTAGTCTGTGGATCACAGAGACTGAGGCATTAGCAAGCCTGGCAGCAACAAGATGAAGGTAGAGCTCTAAACAGGATCAGTACTGTGATTTGTTTTGAAATACTAATACACAAGCATTAAACATTACAATCAAGACATAAAATATTTATTCATCCTAAATAGAAAGATCATTATGTCTATGGTTATTAAATTATTAAATTATTAAAAAAAAAAAACCTAGAGGGAGATAATGTTAACAAAGTAACATACAAAATTAGCAATCCCTATATACTATGGTGGTTTCAAGAATGACAATCCAGGCTGGAGAGATGGCTCAGTAGTTAAGAAAGAGCACAGGAAGCTCTTTCAGAGCTCCTGAGTTCCAATCCCAGCAACCACATGGTGGCTCACAACCATCTATAACGGGATTGATGTCCTCTTCTGTCATGCAGGCATACAAACTTATAGAGCATTTATATATTACCTGCATAAGTAAATAAATCTTAAAAAATAAAACAAAATTTAAAAAGTGACAGTCCCATACCCTATTCCTTACTCCCTCAATTTTTCTTTATTATTATAATGTATTTTTAATTTGAAAGGATTTTTAAATATTAAAAAAATTAAGGTAGTTGTGTGTAGGTGTGTGTCATGCATGTATACGACATGTGTGTACGGGTGCACAAGAAGGTCAGAAGAGGGCACTGGACCACTCGAGACTGAGTTATGGGCAGTTATTAAGCGGCCAGCTAAGATCTGGGAAGCAAACCTGGGTTTGCAAGAGCAGTAAGTGCTCCTAGAGTCATCTCTCTAGCCCATTAATTTAAAGTAGTACTATTCTATATGTTCAGATTTCCTTACTTAAGGTAGCCTCTTGAAAGTGACAGGGTGGCAGAAACGCATGGATATGTGGAACAGCATAATTCCCAACACAAAATATTGGAAGCAGTCTAAACTCATCAAAAATATACCTGAAAACTACATAGCCAAAAGGTTATAAAACTAAAACTCTAAGTTTTACTGTTATACAACTAGCAGAATATCCTGGGGATGGCTCAACTATTAAAGGTTAGATGCAAAATGCAACAATAGTCTAGTAGGAACACAAATAGTAAAGCAGTGATCTTTACGAATAGTGACGTGAACACGAATGTGGCTGACTATCGGAAGGCAGACATCTGTACCTGCATTTATGACAGAAACACTGAAAAGGTGAGGCCCACACTGATAAAGCAGGGGTGCTTAGACCAAGAGGAGCAACAGGGAGGAGAGACAATAGAAGCCAAGCTTTCATCTGTAAGTCATTCATCTACTAAGTATGTGAAACAAAACCAAACGTTAATTGAGGCTGCTGAGAATAGTTCTGCATGCTTTCAACAGTGCTTGGAAAATTAGATGTCTGTATACATAAGACCTACTGTGCAATGAAGCTGTAGTTCAGTAGGGCAACACTTCCCTAGTACACAAAAGGCCCTGGGTTAGACCCCCTTGCACTAAAGAAATCAAATAAAACAAAGTGTAATGAATATTTACAGCAGCATTATTAATGTTAGCTAAATGATATATCTCAAATGTTTAATATATAATATTATATTAATACAAATATTTTTTTTCTTTTTTCTTTTCTTTTTTTTTTTTTTTTTGAGACAAGGTTTCTTTGTATAGCTCTGGCTGTCCTGGAACTTGTTCTGTAGACCAGGCTGGTCTTAAATTCAAATACTCACCTTCTTCTGACTCCCAAATTCTGAGATTAAAGGTGTGCACCACCACTGCCTGACAACAGTTGACAATTTTGTAACCACAGTATGCCAACTCTTTTTCTTCCTACTTAAGGTTTATGAACTGCCAGAAACGTTACAAATATGTTCAAGAGTCAATTACAGAATACAGTCTCTTGAAAGTGTATGTTTTAATTATATGTACATATATTACTCCGGCAACAGGATACCTAGCTTTATAAAACTTTCCTTTCTCTGGCGGTGAGCATTTAGCTCTATCACTGAACTACATCTCACAACACCATCTACTCATAAACATGTATGAAACGCACAGAAAGCCAGGCAATAACAGCACAGTGTGAGCACCACACTAACGACACGTCTAAACACACATAAGTGAGTTTGTACAATCCAGCACTGTAAAAATGTCAGGAACATAGTCAGAGAAGTCTCCTAGATGTACCTCATATAAGAACAAATTCAAATTTGTTAGTAAACTGTTTCACTTTGCAGAAATATGCAAATACATAAAAGTTAGCTTTAACGACCATTGCCTACCTGAAGTGCTAATGCTTCTTGCTGCTGACGAGCTTCTTCCTGGGCCTTCTCCAGTGCCCCAGAAAGTTCTTCTTTAGCCTTCATCTCACGCCTCAGAGCAGCTTCCTGTACCTCACTATCCTTAGCAGCATTGGCTTTGTGAAGATCGGTAAGTTCTCTTTAAAAAGCAGATTGATACTTTTGATTTATTACTAAAACACAAACATGAACACATACCTAAACTAATGTAATTTCTATGTACCACAGAAATCTCAAAATAACAGCAAGCACCTGTACAATGACTCTAGTCATTATAAGGATCTTATAATTGGACTCGCTTTGTCTAATAGCAAATGTACTCATAGAAAAATCTATAAATGTTGCTAGTACCCAGATAATAGAAAAAAGACCAGCTGGAGAGATTGCTCAGTATTTGGACAATCTCTTCTGTCTTCCTCGGGCATATGGTACACAGACATGCACACAGGTGAAATACCAATGCACATAAAAAATTAAAAAAAAAAAAAAGGAAAAGACTTCTTCAACCTCCCACTGTGATAACAGATCCTAAACACACTGTACATCTCATACCTGTACACACTATCTAGGGCCGCCTGAATACTTCATACCTGTACACACTATCTAGGGCCGCCTGAATACTTCATACCTGTACGCACTATCTAGAGCCGCCTGAGTACTTCATACCTGTACACACTATCTAGGGCCGCCTGAATACTTCATACCTGTACGCACTATCTAGAGCCGCCTGAGTACTTCGGCTCTTCTCTTCAAGTTCATCCATGTCTACTTGAAGTCGGCCAAGATCTTTCTCCTGGCGTTCTACCACAGAATTTAGTTTTTTAATATTTTCTCTATGTTGTTTCTCAACCTCCTCTTTGCCATCAAGGACCTATGTCATCAAAACAGAAAAGACCACGTTTCAATAAATGATGCCATGGTACATAACAAATTCCAAGACATCTCTCAACACAGGTTATAGCTTGACTAGAAAATGTGGCCCATTGGCACATGTGTCTGAACACAGCTCTGCTCATGGCTGGAGGAAATGGGAGAACAGGGCTTCAAGGTTTGCCCAGCCCTGCTTCTCTACTTCCTGGATGGCACCAAGTAACAAACACTTGCCACACACTTACACCACCACATACCACACCTCTGTCATACCTTCCCCACTGTGACAGAATCTCATCCTCTGGAATCTTGAGTCAAAGAAAACATCTTCTTCAATTTGTTCATGGCAAGTAATTGACCACAGTGATGTAAGACAACATATTAGCTATTCATTTATCTATAAACTAGAATCTTGCCTGACATCCCATTAAATCATTCTGAATGCTGCACATCCATAGCCAATTACAGGAAGTAAGATTAATGCATGGTCAAAGAACAATGATTGCTGCTCACCTGTCGTAAATGCTGTAACTCCTCTTCCAGCTCCTTAGCTTTTCTGTTCAGCTTTGCAATAACATTTTCATTGTCTTTATCTTTAGCTCTTAATTTCTTAATGATGTTGGAATTATGCAGCTGCTGCTTTGAAAGTTTTTCTCCTGGTGATTATAAAAAAACAAAAAACAACAACAACAACAAACAGTGAGTGTCTAAGAAACTGCATAGAAAGCTTTATCTAACAAGTAGCATACAATGAGTTTTTAATACCACAAAGACTTTAAACTCCAGTGTTAAACTCATTTGAACAGGAATTATCAATAAATATTAAAATTATTATGTGACAGGATTCTAGGTAACAAGATACTAACAGTCTTCATTTGCTCTTTAGCCTCAAACTCAGGATCCTCCTACTACCACAGCCTCCCAAATGCTGGGATTACAGGTGTGTACCACCATATCCAGCTTATAGCTGTATTTTAGAATCACTTATGTACCTGTATTTCCTGCTTATAAAAATAGGTTCCTAAAAGATAGGGAAGTATATCATATCTAATATTTTACCTCGGTACAATACTAATATAATCACTGTTTAAAGGAATTCATATGTAAGTAAAAAAAAAATGGGTAAAAGTTAATTTCAAATTAAGTGATTGCTTCCAATTGTCTTCAAATTCTATACCTGCTCTAAAACATATTTACATTGAATGACTTAAGAAATGTTCACCCCACATTTGTAAAATGAACATTTTAAAAATAAAAGATCTAACATTAACAAATCACTAAAATAACTGCAATATCGCCATATAATGACTTTAACAGCCAAAAGTAATAATATACAAAATATTTAATACTACAGTGACATATAAGGCTGCACATGAAATATACAATCTTAACTGTGCTTAAAGATGCAAAGATACACTGAAGAAAAGCTAGATCTCCAAGATTTAAAAAAAAAAAAGCCAAAATACAAATATAGTAGAAGTCATCAAATGTTAAAAACTCATTGTACTCAGACCAGGAACTCAGAGCCCTTACAGACCTACAATCACAGCCTTCAGATGTACTTGTTCAGTGATGGGCTCTTATATGACATGTTACAAACATGTAAAGGGCAGCACAAATTTCTGCTCAGTTTTTGGAAACTTTAAACAAACAAAAAAATCTTCCCGGGATGAAAAGCTACATAGCATATTTTTCTTTCAAGACATCTCACCCCATTCTTCCACAAACTGTCCCAGCCACTTTTGTGGTGCGAGTCCACCCTCCCAGCTTTCGTTCCCACTCTCTTCTCCTTTCCTTCCTGTTCCTCCTGCTCCATCACACTTTTCCCTCTTCTTTTCTTTCTTTTCTTTTCATTTTTTGTGTTGGAGGGGTGGGGGGGGCTGTTGTGTTACTCAAGTTCATCTTCATCCCCTGGGCTCAACAAATCTTCCAGCTTCAGTGATGCTATGACTACAGGTAAGAATCACCATACCCAGCTTAATATTTGTTATTAGGAAGCATGTTCTACCTATTACATAGTTACAAAGTATTTACATATTTACATATTACAAAGTATTTTTCCTTTTCTTAGAGTACTTTTAATAATCAACAACCCACCTTCTTCCATTAAGCCTTGAATCTGTTCATCTTTTTCCTTCAAAAGGTCTGCAGTTTGACTACTATTTAATCTAGTGGCAAGTTCTTCCTTTATGCTTTTCATTTCCTAATTTAAAAAAACTGTGGTTATCATAAAGAATTATTTTCATCCTAAGTATATTTTTCCAGCCTTCCCCTATTTGAAGAAGCTACCCACCCATAATTTTATTCCAATAATAAAATCTGTCAGTTTACTCAACCTACTTGCATAGTTAATTAATACAAGAAAACAGCTGTGAATACCACATAAAAATCTATACTCATCATTTCTTTTTTTTCACTCATCATTTCCATAAGCAAGTTTTAATATGGAAATATGAGTGAAATGCTACTACTTTCTCCTTTTTCCTATACTGTCATCCTTCGATATCTCTACACATGTAATCTATAGGTTAGGCTTTGCATTTGGAACAATACAGCAATATAGGACAGGAAGAAGTTTGTTGGTTAAGTGTCTCAAGTTACTGCCATTGTCTAAAATGAGTTAGCTAAACTAAAGCAACCAAGCATGAGACTTCAAGTAAGAGTTCACATAGAAAAACAATAAATTTCCATTAACCAAATATATAGTTATTATGGTTATATACTTTAGAGTACCAATAACAATGGCAACCAAATTACCATTAGACAAAAAGTAGGAAAGAGGTTCTGTGAAATGGCTTCGCAGTTAAAAGCACTTGCCACCAAGCTGATGACCTGTATTTGATGTACAGGATTCACATGGTGGAAAGAGAAAACCATTTACTGCAAACTCCCCTAATCTTCGTATGTGAGCTATGGTGTGTCAAGTGAGTGCACATGCACATTCTCATACACACACACACACACAGACACATCTGCACACACACAAGTGTGCACACACATACATGCCCACACAGAGAAATTAAAATGTAAGAGATTTATAATAATAAAGTGGGAAAGCAGCCTAATCTCAAAAGGTTAAATGCAAACAGCAAGTTATTAGTAAAAGCTAGGACTCCCATGATAATTAACAACCATAGTTTTTAAAAACTGAAGTGTCTAAGTGCTCCTGACTGGGAGCACGGCAACAATGGCTCTTTAAGAGGCACGGCTTTGCTCCCAAAGGGCATATGGCAATCCCTACAACTAAGCAGAGAAGGCATGACTGCAGTGACATGGAGGGGCTGAGGATGCTGCTAAGCCTCTAACAGCAGAGTAGAGTAGTCTCTGTAAGAGAATTAGCCTCCTAAATGCCAACAGTATCAGAGATGAGGAGTGCCAGCACAAGTCAGCATTACAGACTGACATAAAAGGGAGTCATTAGCCACTATAAACTACTCATTTCATTTAGACTTAAGGAAGTGTACATGTTTGAAGTGGTAGGAAAATAATCCAGAGGACTAAGGAGTACTTTCAAAAATGTACATAGTACCACTTAGGTTTAAGTGTTGCTTATTCTGATGGAATTATCATTTTTGGTTACCTTAATGGTCTTTGCAAAGATTCATATATAAATTACATAATATCTGTTTAAGAGACAATGTATGTATGCATGTACACATCTGTGTGCACAACAGTGGAGGATATAGCAGCCTTCAGGGAACTTCTCTGATTACTGTTCCACATTGAGACATGGTCTGAACACGAAGCCCATCAATCTGGCAAGGCTGGCTGACAAATAGCTTTTAAAAGCTCCACCCATCTCTGAGCCCCTTCCCCTAGCATTAGGGTTACTGACACTTGCCATTATGCCTGGCTTTAGCATGGGTTCTGCAGAGCCAAACTCTAGTCCTCATGCTTGCCCAATGGGTGTTTTAAAGCCTAAGCCAACTCTCCAATCTCTAGATTTCTCTAAAGTTTCAAAATCTACCAACTTTAATATACCCAAAATCTAAAATTTACCCGTTAATATCCTATATATGTTTTTAATATTTACTCTTTTTTAATACCAAAATATGAGTTCATTCATGGAACTCTATAGTGTTTAATTTTAATTACCTTCTTAGCAGCATCTCTCTCTTTGCAGGCTAGTTGAACTTTCTTTTCTGCTTCTGCAATTCTCTGGGTAAATTCATCTTTCAGAGAAGAAATGCTACTACTTTCTTCTTTTACTCTGAACATTTCACTAGATTCAAAATATATGAGAATGAAGATACTGTTTAACAGTCTAGAGGTAATGAAGTCAGTTTCCAAAATGCAGACAGCATTTTTTCTAATATATACTATAGTAAAATAGAACTGGGTGAAGTCTAGTAACTTTCATTCTGCTTTGTTTGTAAGACAAGGTCCTACAATATGGCACAAGTGTCCTCTCTAAACTCATCCTGCTACCTGTTTCTCTGCTGGGATTACACAATGGCATGTGAGCCATCATGCCCGTCCAGACAGTCACTTCATCAAAGAAAAATTACTTGCAAAATTAACTTCATAAATTTATTAGTGTTGCTCAGGACTGAACCCAGGAGTATGCATGCTAGGAAAATGCTTGACCATAAACCCCTACCCTCAGCCCTACTAAACTAATTTTAAGAAGCCTCAAATAAAACCCACTGGCAAAAAATGTCACCAATATTAGACATGCAAATCTAAGACAAAAGTAAATGTTTCAATTCTAAATCTTTCCTGTCACACTTCCTCAATCATCTCAAAGTAAATTAATTCAGTGTTAACTATAGGATTTCAATTTTCACTAAACACGTTTTAAATCTCTAATACTAAAAGAATAAGAAGATACATGTGTATATGTAATATACACATGTGAATGTGTTTTTATAAAACATTAAAAATGTCAACGATAATATGGTAAAGACAATTTGAGAAGAAAAACAAACTTAAATATGTTTATAATTGAAACACTATATTAATTTTCAGTGGCTACAGACAAGTTCAACTGCAAAACATTTTGTAAAGATCTGTAAGTTTGTATATACATGCACATACATATACTATGGACAAGCCTGGTACCCTTGGAGTTATGTGGGTGCTGGGAACCAAACACAGGTCCTCTGCAAAAGCAGCAAGTGTTCTTAACCACTAAGCCACTTCTCCAGGTCTAAATTGTGAAATGTTTCAATTTTAAAGCATTCAAGTACAATGGCCTGCACATACTTTGTGACATCACTTGTGTGTGATCTGAATACTTACTCCTTCAGGTTATCATAAGCTTCCTCTAGAAGTGCCTTTTCTTTACTAAGGGACAATAACTGAGTCTCTCTCTTTTCTAGTTTCTCATTCAGAAATTCAACTGTCTGGAAAGAGAGAATAAACACAAGTCAATCATTTGTGATGCAGGTAAAAAGCTGTAAGAGTAACCTGTTCAAAACTCAAAAACCAATGCTGAGGACCCCGGAGACAGAGACGAACTCTAACCAACGGTTAGGAGAGCACAAACCTGAGCAAGCATGTAACTGGTAGGATTACACACTGATGAATTAGTCTGGGAGAACAATTATGTAGTAGTATCTACTTGATTGACCACCTGAGCATGTAGAAAATCCCACTTCTAGGTCTACCTTACAGGAAGCACATGATAAATATACTAGGTGATATGCATAAGAACATTTAAAGCAATTTATTTCTAACAGAAAAAAACTAGGATAATTTATTTGTATAGCCACTAAAGAAGGAAGATATATAAAATAAAGTAAGGGTTCCAAACTTCTGGTAACGTTTCACATCTTAATTTTGTTGTAGCTAGATATCCCACTAATATTTTTATTATTCTTTAACCCAAATTTAATTTGATTTTACTATTATCCACTATATTTAAAAATAAAAATTAAAAAAAAAAACCTTAAGCGTGTAATTTGAATTTTCTAGGGGGTACAAACCTAACAGAAGTAGTTGTCTGAATATCTCATGTCTTGTCTAAGTCTTGCTAAAGCAGTGATAAACTCATCTGTAAAGACAGAGACTGGGCTGGAGAGATGGCTCAGTGGTTAAGAGCACTGACTGGTCTTCCAGAGGTCCTGAGTTCAATTCCACATGGTGGCTCACAACCATCTTTGTAATGGGATTCGATGTCCTCTTCCGGTGTGTCTGAAGATAGCTACAGTGTATTCATATACATAAATACATCTTTAAAAATAAATAAATAAATCTTAAAAAACAAAAGGTGGGAGAGAGGTTGCCTTTCCAGCTTCAAAAAAGTCTTGTCTGAGTCAGAACAGCCTACAAATCACTTACCTTCCTAAAGAGTCTGAAAACGGGAACAGTAACTAGTGCTGTCTTTGGGGGATTCAAAATACCAGCATATACTCTATGGTTGCTGCTGCTCATTCAAATATATAGCATGGCATTTTGTTCCTGAATAATATTAAACCCAGGGAACAGAACCTGCTGCTTTCAAAAATATTAACTAAGGCAAACCTGAGCATTCACAGTACATTTCTCCACATGTTAGCTATACATTCCAGAAGCCTATTAAAGATGCTAGCTCCTATTCAATGTCTAAGACTCAGGAAAACCCAAAGCTGTGGTTTAACATTAAAGAACGGACACTGTTTTCTCTTGTATGGATTAGGAAGAAGTCACTGGTTAGTCCCAGGTTTGACTTTTGCTCCTTGGGCATTTCATTTTCTTATTCATGTAAGATAGCTATTAAAAACAGGTGGAAAAACCAAGCCAAGATACTGTAAGAAGTGTACTTGTTATATCAATGAAACATCAACATTAGAATATTAATCACAGGCTGGAGAGATGGCTCAGCAGTTAAGAGCACTGACTGTTCTTCCAGAGGGCCTGAGTTCAATTCCCAGCAACCACATGGTGGCTCACAACCATCTGTAATGGGATCCAATGCCCTCTTCTGGTGTGACTGAAGACAGCTACAATGTACTCATAAACCAAAAATAAATAAATCTTAAAGAAAGATATAAAGTCTTTATATTAACAACAAAGAATATTAATCACAGGAAAGCATCAACAGTATTCATATAAAACCAAAAGATAAAATCTAAAATTTTCCATAAATAGAATATGCATGCAAAACACTTTGATATAAAAGTAGTAACATTCAGGTTGATATTCCATGTCTATCTTCAGGAGAATACATTGTGACATACACAGTCTTTTGCAAACTGGCAGAGGGATGAACAGAGCATGAAAGAATGTTAAAAGTGATAAAGATGCAACAATAAAGATGGAAAATGGAAACATTAAGCTCTTTTCTATAATATTTACTTAGTCTACCATAGTTGCTTTGCAAGAAATTCAAATCCTTTAACATAATTATTCATTTTAAGGTCCTTAACTGCTACAATCAAATGATCAAACATCTACTTTTTCAAATCACCACTCATCCACAAAAATATCTGCAACTCTGAAAGATACCCCAAAGCCCTCTTCTACTCTGTAGTTACCTTGCAAACATCTTCTTTCTCCGGTGGTGCTTTCGGCTGGTGTTCAGCAGCTTCACACTGCTCAGCGGCCGGTCCAGAGGCAGAGTCCCTGCCATTTACTGGTGTAGGAGAAGCCAATGTATCTGGCTGTTCACAGTTAACTGGAGTAGCACTTCGGCCACTTTCCTCTAATTCTGCTTCTTCAGAAGGTGCAATTAATGTCTTGTTTCCTTCCTCTTCTTCAGCATTCTCTTCAGTAGATTCTACTACTTTAGTCTTTGGGGCTGAAGGACTCACTACTATAGGTACTAAAGCATAGCCTTTGCCTGGCAGTTCATCGTCTGAATTGATTTCACTTACACTCCGGCTATCCAGAGACTGCACGCTAAACGAGTCTATTCTTTCAAAAGCATCCGATGAGCCGCAGCTCTCATTGAGCTTTTGAAAGTCATCTAAGCGGCTATATTCAGGACAAGCAGATGCAGAGAGAAGCTGAAATGACGTCTGCATGAGGTGAAGACTTGACTTTGCATCCGAAGTCTCTTGCCTTGAACTAGCTGAGCTCTCACTTATTACACTTTCGTGATCTAAAACTTCAATGTCACTAGTGGTGGAAGTGCCTGACGAGAAGGAGCTAACAGGAGGAGAAGGCGTGTTGCTCTGTCTGTCTTCGTGTTTTTGCTCTTTAGGTTCCAAAGCCATATCCTTAGTTTCTGCCGTAAGAGACTGAGTGCTTGTGGTAGATACATCTTCTGTTGGGTTTACACTAACTACATTCTCAGACACCTTCAATCCCACAATGGGCACCTTCACCTCAGACTCTTCACTGGCAGTTTCTTCATGCTTGTCTTCAGGTACGGGTGAGGGAGTACCCACAGCTGGAGTCTCTCCTCCAACACACACAGGATCTGTCACTTCAGACTCAGCTGTCTCAGAAGCTCTGGACTGGCCAGGAGATGACGATTCTTGTAAACTGCTTTTCACTTCTTCTTCTGGACGCTGTGATTTAGCTGGAGGTTTTGATACCACTGGACTCTTCTGAATGGTCTGGACATCCGATGGAGAGAGAAAGGCACTAAAGAAACTTTCAGATTCATCTACTACAGTCCTTCGAACCGGCTTTGTAATTGCTTGAGAGGCTGTTGGTGGACTCTGAGGTTCAGTGCTCGAGTTCAATCCCCAGGTTGAAGTATCCCATCCTCCACTCACGGGGGGACTTATTCCTTTGACAAAAATAAATTAGCTCATTAAATAAAGAATATTAGCATTAATATTTCAAGCATCATCAGGGGTATCAACTGGGAGAAAAGAGAGTTTATGAAATGCATCCTGTAACTTGGAAAAGTTAAGACTCTTTCCTCACAGCCTCACTAATTAGTTTCCAGGTTAACTTTGGGTGTCAAAGAATAAAACCAGTGTGAGCCGACCTAACAGGGTCTAACAAACAAGTACAAGCCCAGACGTGGTTTTTGCCTAGCCAAAGCAAGTGTGTTATCCCTCCGAATACATACTTAAAAATAGTGATAAAGGTTGTATAGCTGGTGTGAAATCCCAGATACATAGCTCATCTCCCAGAAACACTCCAAATCTTCACTAACAGGCACATGTAGTCACATCACTATCCAGCTACACCATCATTTTATTCTTGTAACATTAAATAATAAAACTTAATTATAAGCTAATCAGATAGCAACGCTCAAAACTTAACCAAAGATAGTGGACAGTCTTTTTCAAAAATCACAATTAAACTGATGTGAACAGTGAGTTCTAGTGAATAAATTCACTCTTGTGTACTTAATGACCAGTCTTCAAGTTCCTCTCTCTTAAAACCAAAAATATTTTTTCTACATTTTTTTAAGATAGCAAAAATCATCAAAACTCTGCAATGAGAAACTGGTGAAAAGGGCACACAATAACTGGGGACTTCCTGAAGAAGAAGAAACCCAAGAAGACCTTTAACAAAGTCTGCCCTTTAATAAAACCACGAGGAGTAAAGAGTGTTGTGGAAGCTGAGCTGGGGGACAGAGTTTTACATTTATTGGCTCAATGTGTGAAAACCAGAAAACAAAGCTTAAAGCAAGATTAGGTCTTCAAGGTGGCTAATTAGCACCCTCCCGGATACCAGGGTTTAAGTTTGCCTCTTGAAAAATGTGGTACGAAATTATAGTAAGCCCACATCCACTTAAACTATTCCCATTCTTCAGACCCATTGTCGTTTTGTAATCTACAACAGGCGATCAATGAAAATAGCAGTCAAGAAAGCATATTCCATTCCAGCCAACCCGCCCTTAAAAATAAATTATACAGCACTATTCATGTCTCAGATTTCATGTGGGGCGGGGAATAATGAGTATCTTTATATTTGAAACTTATTTGAGCTTAAGTTTAGTAACTCCAACTCTGGGGTACAACCACAAAAGGGTGAGCTACTCAATAGCAAGGTAACACATAGAATGAAATAAGATCACGACATACCTACAATCATACATAATCTAAGACATCAACGATTCAACTTAGGTCTCGAGTTTTCAACAATGTACAACTAAAACCAGAAACCAGAGAGTGGTCAACTACTCTTTTCATCCAAAGGTTTGCACTGTGTCCGTTGCTACACACGTAAAAATGCTCAAAAATCCCTCAGACTTAAAAGACACAAGTAACCGAAGATTCTGGAAAGAGTTATTTCAGCCAATCTGAAAAACCTGGTTCTGAAAAAAAAAGGGGGGAGGGGGGCTACAGTTGATAACAAATGTTCTTGGTACTATGCCCAGTACAGTCTGTGCCTCACCTGGAGAAAGTTACTTATGCATTCTGAGTTTCGGTTAGCTCTTCTGTAGAACACGGGTACTACTATCCCTGACTCGGGTTGTTTTGAAGACGAGGAAGCTTTTTGTAAAGTCTTTGTATTCATTAAACGCTCCCTGACGGGATTTACATAGTTCAGACCTAGGACGCATAGGCGGAAGACGCGTAGCAATTAGGGATCTGGGGCTGTGTCCCGGACTCTGAAGGAAGGGACTGGGGCCACAACCAGAGCTCGAGCTGACACCTGAGGTCAGCAGGACCGGCACCGAGGCCGAGGCATGCGGGACTGGGGTCGGACGGCAGGCAGGCGCGACACCCCGGGACCCGCTTACCCGGCTCGCCGTACGGGATGGCCTCGGCCCAGACGCTCGGCTCCTCCTCCTGGATGTCCAAGACCCTGTCGATGGACTTCTGGGCCTGGGATAGGGCCTGCTTGGCGAAGCTGGACAACTGCGAGGCATTGAACCAGCTCATGGCCCCTCCTCAGCGCCGGCTCCGGCCGGCTCCGGCGGCCTTAGCGGTGGCCCCGGCCGACCGCCTCCCGCGGCCGCGCGGCGCTCAGAGCCTCCCGCACAGCTGAGCCGGGCCCTACCGCGCATGCGCCGTCCTTCCACGTACACAACCACCAGATCCGGGAGCCGAGTTCCGCCCAGACGGAAGGACGGAGGCGGTAGCGTGAAGCCACATCCGGGAGCGGAGGGTCGCCCTTAGTTACCAGCAGGCTCTAGGGTTGCTAGCGGTGCTCAGCCGACGGACGCAGTCTGCGCCGAGGCTCAGACCTCCGGGAGCGACTGGAGCCGTGTGTGCCTCGCTGTAAACACGGCGGCTAGGCCTCACCTTTATTTTCTCTCGGCACTCAAAAAACAGTTGGCCAGTTCTCTCCTGGCCTGGATGTCTTTGCCTGACTTTATGGGCACCGTCCCTAGATCCTGGAACATTTACAGATGAAACAACTTTCCTCTCTACCGAGTTCTGTCATCTGAATGGCGTTCAGTACATTCCTATGTTAAGAGGTGGGGCTTTTAGTAACTTACTGGGTCACGAGATAGCAGTGACACCCATGGGAAATAGGCGAATGTCCTATTAAGAGGTCTCAGAGTGCCTTCGCCCTCTCAAGCATAACATACCAAGGTCATGCCAGCCATGAACCAGAAATAGGTGACCTCATCAGCTGTGTTCATCTTGGACCTCTCAGTCGCAAGAACTGTAAGTCAAGTTTCTGTAGCCTGTGAGACAGCCACTTTGTGGCAGTTTGTTAACAGCAGTTTGGATGGACCAAGCCACTTGGCAACCAGTAAACTATTAACCCATCAGTACATACTATGCCCACTGCCTAAAAGATAAAACTTGTATGCTCTTTTCCACACTTGGTCATGGGAGGAATTTAAAGTCGATGGCTTTCCTTGTCCAGTCAGCAGCTGTTTGGTTCTAATAATGCTAAAGAAAAAATTCTACCGGCATTTAAAGGCTAAATTTAATTCAAACATGCAGAGTTTCATCACCCCCTTGTGAAAAGAGAATTCCAACCCTACACAAAAAAACCACAGGTACTTAAGGAATGCTAAAGCTAGGAATGGGAGAAAGTCTTTCCCAGGGAAGATCATACCAACTGATTACACACTACCAAATGGTCAGCCCTGAAAACATTATAGACTGATAGGGTTGTACTAATGTACTTGAGAATACATGTGTACACATTTATATACTTAACAGTTAATAAAAGAGACTATTAGAGCAATTGATATCTACAAAAAGGTTTAGAGGGAGGAAAGGAAAAAGGGGAAATGATGTAATTTTATCCCCCAAAACTTTTCCTTGGACTACCATAACTACTAACAGGGTGGCTTAAAATGACAGAAATGCTTTCAGTTTTGGAGCCACAAGTATGTTGTTCACCGGAGCTGTCCTCCCTCTGAAAGCTTTATGAAGAATGCACCCTGCTTCTCCTAGCTTCATGTCAGCAGGCAATCTTTTTATTCCCTGGCTACAGATACACCACTCCGCTTTCTGATCTCCCTCCACACGTCTCTCTCATCTCTTCTAATAGGGATGCCTACCATATTAGATTGGTGACCCTGTATTTGAGAATGACCACATCCTACTTAATTATATCTGCAATGACCCTATTCTTGAAAGAGAGAGAGAAAAAGGAAAGGAGAGAGGAGGGGGAGGGAGGGAATGAGGGAGGGGGAGGGGGAGAAGGGCAGGGGAGAGGGGGAGGGAGAG